CTTTTCGCCTTCTTCTTCGGACCCTTCTGGTGAATCCCACCATGAGAGCTCGAGGCGAGGTGCTGGATCTCCGCCCAACACTAGCTAGCGACCTGCTGGATCTCCGTCCAACAGTAGCCAGGGCTTTGAGCACAGTGCTGCAGCAAAGCATGTATCACAGGGTTAACCGCTATTTATTATGTACACCACGAGAACAGTTGGGCTGAAGGTTTTGGGTCTGCTTCTTCAAGACAGGTTGGACGATGTCGTATATGTGTGGAGGGCTGGAACAAGTTCGGGCTAAGGGCCTCCAATACCCATCAGTCTAGGCTTTGGTGCGTGCTTTAGGCTTCCCTCGGGCTATCGGGCTCCTCCGAGGATTTCGGCGACTGCATCTGCTGCGGCCGGCTCGGCTGGCTTCTGACCTGGCGAGCGACGAAGGTTTCTCTTAAGAGGGGTTTAGGGTTTAGGATCTTCCAAAAGGGTGTCCTTCGAGGGGTTTCGGGATTAGTATCTTCCACAAGGGTGTCCTTTGAGGGGTTTCGGGATTAGTATCTTCCAGAAGGGTTTCTCTGAGGGTTTTAGGGTTTAGTTTGAGGCTTTCTAGTTTCGTTAAGTTTTGGAGTTGTAAACACCCCCCCCCCAAAAGGGCTTCTTTGAGAGCAAGGCTTAAGGGCAGCAGGGTTCAGGCGATTTGCCAGCTTCCAGGTCTAGGGTTTCAAGGTTTCGGATGATATATAACCATGCATGGTCCTGCAGGATGCAAAAGGTAATCTATAATAGTGATTGCACCGGGTCAGCCAGCACAGCATGGGACACCTTTTTTTCCTTCGGCGGGCTAGGAGGTGCGTCCTTTCATAGCCCGGATTCCGCACCGGCCACCGGTGCAATGCGATTATTAAGGTCATATCGCTTTGCGATATGAAAAGACTTGCATGAGGCCTTTGACACGCCTCGCACAGAAAACGCCAGCCGGCTAGAAGCTTGCCAGCCCTCATCGCTGTGAATCCCACATCACTCTTCACCTTTTCCCGGCTGTCCTGTGGGACCTGCTCCCTCACCGCTGTGAATCCGGCATCACTCTTCACCTTCTCACGGCTGTCCTGCGGGACCTGCTCCATGAGGACCACGTGCACCCCATCGGGTTGCCTGTGCGACTGGCACAGGAGCTGGCACCTGCTGCGGAGGGGGCGGCGCCATCTGCTGCAGCAACTGGGTGATCGTCTGCACCGTTGCAAATTGCATGTTGTAGACCGGGCCTGAGTAACACATGCTGAATGAAAGAGTCCAGCAAAAATCTCACGTATTGATCTTTAAAATTAAACAAAAAATTATATATATAATTAAATGCCAAGATGCTGCATAGCGAAGAAATGGTGTGCACCTCCAACATCACGGAATACCATATATCGCATTGCTCGCGAATCCAGACATGACGTGAGTTGCTGGCCCTCGCCATCATTCCTTCGAGCAGCTTGCTCATCGTCTCTGGGTTTTGCAGCCCATGAACTTGCACCGCCAACGGCGAGAGCAGCTGGAGCGTCAGCTTGGACACCTTCTTTCCCGAGCCCAGAAAGTGCTCGTGGAACTCATTGTGCCACCAACTCTTCTCGTCGGGAGGAAGCATCTGAAACTCGTCGGCGTAGCTGCTCAACCAGCGTTGATCCACCAGCCCGAGCTGCCTCTGAGCCTCAGTCCAGGCTTCCATGCACCGAAAGTACGCTCCAGTGTTCATGGCTTTAAACCCAGATCCGGCAGCCTACACTTCAGCAGCAAATTTGAGCCGCGAAACTTCACGTAACAAAAAACTGTCAATCAATGCATCATGGCTGCCATCATCTCCCTCATCAGCGACACCATCCGAACCCTACACCTTAATCATCATTAAGAGCAGGGTTTACAGGCTTAAGGGTTCAAGGTTTGGTGTGAAGGCCGTAGACCACCACCACCAGAAATGCTAAATCCTCCGAACCTCACACCTAAAGCCCCTGAACCCTTTGCTCCCAGGATGGGACCTGCTCCTTCATTTTCTGCTCTTGGGCCGCTTCGGCGTGTCGGCTGCCTGGCCGCAATAACGGTTTCAAGGCTTTAGGGTTGTGACTCCCAGAGTGTTAGCAAACTGGCATTTCATTGAATAATTTTTTTTACACTAATGTTACGGTTTTGCTATGATTTCAAGGATCCTTCCGGTTACGATTATGATACGATTTTGACATGGTTTACGATTTGGATACGGTTTGGATACGGTTTGGATGCGGTTCTGATACGATGTTCATACGATTTCGTGAAATCGTAACCAGAACCGTATCAATATCTTAAACGGGAAAACCCCCTAAATCATTTTATATATAATCATAAAAATAATTCCCGGCGCATACCCTTAGTTTGCTATGTGTGGTATAGGGTTCAAGGCTTGGTGTCAAGGCCTTACACAACCAACAACAGAAATGTTAAATGCTCTGTACCCCTAAGCCCTTCGGTCCTTATACCCGCCAAAAACAATGGAATTACACCCCTAAGCCCTTATACCCCATAAAAACAATCCAATGTCCCAGGATCGGGCCTCATCGTTCTGGCGCCCTCTCTTCGGCTTCTTCGGCGTCTCGCTTGCCTGGCCGCCATTAATTAAGGCAACATGGCTTATAGGGTTTAGGGGTTAGGGTTTAGGGTTGAGGGTTTAGGGGTTACGGTTATAGGGTCTAGGGTTTTCAGGTTCAGGGTTTACAAGGGATTAGGATTGAGGGTTTAGGGTTTAGGGGTTCGGGTTTAGGGGTTCGGGTTTAGGGGTTAGGGTTTAAGGGTCAGGGTTTAGGGCCTAGGGTTCAAGCCTCGGATCCACAATGTTGCTTCGTGGCCGCCATAGGGTTTGGGGTTGAAGGGTTCGGGTTTAGGGGTTAAAGTTTAAGGGTCAGGGTGAGGGTTTAGGGGTTAGGGTTTAAGGCTTGGATCCAGCTGCTTCGAGGCAGAGTCGCTTACGGGCTCTCGGATTACAGGAATTGAGCGAGGACTAGCCTAAACCCTAAACCCGGCCTAAACCCTATATCAAGAGGCTCAAGCTGATCATGCTTGGCTGCGAAGTCGCCAGTCGTTTTCCACCAGTAGAATCGGTCTTCCCACTGCTGTTTGCTCATGACCTCGATAGGGTCCGGAGTCGTGGGATCTGAGGCGTGTCGAATGGAACGGGGTCGAGCCGTGTTGAAGGCTTGGTATAGCTCGAGCTTGAATTGGAGCTCGCAGAGCTTTTCGACCAGGTCCCCGACTGAGTCGATGCGGGAAGCGTTCTTTTCCTCGGATCTCTCCAGGTTCGTCCAATCTCTCCGGGTCGCCGCACTGGATGCCCCAAAATCGCCGCCCAGCTGGGTGCTGGCCAGCCTTCCAAACCCCTAATCCGGCAAAGCCCTAAGCGCCTAAGGCCTCAAACCCTCAGGCCCCCAAATCCTTTTTCCCGAAACCTTGACACTCAAGCCTTTAGCCTTTAACCCTAGGGCACCGAAAACCTTGAAGCTAAAACCTGAAGAAAATCAAGCCGCTAATTCCGTCCTAAGTCCTGGAACCACCAACCCTAGCTCTGTAAAGCCTGGATCATACCCTTGTCCAAAAATCAGATGGGACAGATCTATATATAAACCCCGCACACCTGATCTCACCGTACTTGGAAGCTCAAAGAAAATTATTATAATCCCACAACCCGAAAATACCGGAACTCCCCAAATCCTTATTGCAACATCCGAGGAACGTTTCTTCAACTATATCTACGTGGATGGCCCTGGGAGATCTTAATCGGGCCCTGGCATCACATTAAATGTTGTCGGTCTTGGGCCTTTGGAATCGACAAATTGATCATAGTAGGGAATGGGGCATGGATCTCAGGACTAAAGCGGGGCGTGGTTACTTCGTCCGTGTACACCCAAATAAGCCCTGAAGTTTGGGTTTGGGGTTTGGGGTTGAGCTTAGAGACCGAAATCCTTAGCAGATCCGACAAGAACTCCCTGGAACCCCTTTTTAAACCTATCAACCCAGAACAGCGAAAGGTCATAATAATTGAAACCCCAGTCCTTCGAAGCCCTAATCCAATTCTGAAAACCCACTAGGGCTCCCACGGATCTCGAAGATCGTGATGAATTCGCTGATGCGGGACGGGGTGGCTATTTGGGGTTAGAAGCCCACAGACCCTAGACTTAGAGTTTCGGGGTTTCGGGTTTAGGGTCGTCTTAAGCTTTTATAGTAGGTTTGAGGATTTCAAAGGCTTCCGGAATGACTCTTGGAGGTCCGAAGCCATGAAATCCGAAACTACCCATAAACCCTAAACCCAGCACTGTAATGCCCATAGGCTTCAATGCCGAGAGAAAACCCAAAACCAACATTCCCAAATAAGCCTGGCCTCCTCAAGGTCATTCCAGTTCGCAGCGATGCATGCACGGTGCCACCTCGGAGGAGGGGGGTTTGAGCTCACAGTGAAATGCAGGCAAGCTTGGGAAATTCCTGAGTTCCGTTCGCTGTCCGGAATCCTTTGTGAGCGGTCCAACAGAAGTTCGATCCTTTCTTTTTGTTCACCTGAGCGGGCGATCGTGGAAAATATTATCGATAAAGGATCCTCTTGACTAGCCTTGACGTCTGTCTTCCAGGCTCGATTGCACTTCTGGATGTGAGGCAGCGAGGTCTTGTTGACATAGAAGCAGCCAAGCTGAAACCTGTGTTCCAAGCAGAGATCGCGATTTGAAGTCAAACTGTAAGCTCCATGATATTAATTGCCAGGGAACAGAACAGCAATCGTAGATTGCGAGTTGCTCTGCTGCGGCAGCCGACACGTGAAGGACCTTGGTGCTCACACTGCCAAGACTTGGATTCGCTCGCAGCCACTGGGCATAATGCATGCGAGTTGCATAGTTTCGTCGAGGACATCCTGGGAGGGGACCTTCATGCGACTGTCGTCCTTGGCAATGGCCCGGATGGCACGGATGTTGCGGTCCCTGTTCTCCTGCCCGGGCGAGGGGGGTGTTCGGTTATTCGTTCGACGACCCTTATAAATTATTTTTATTGGTCCTTCTGGTAGGCACTGAGCGACGTGACTCGCTTGCATGCCTGGACGATGTTGGCTTCGATTCGAGCTTATTTGTAAAACTGGACATTGCAAGCCACAGACAGTCCTCCTCCACACTGGCGGGCGTTTCCACTTTCTCCTGGGCCCTCGGCTCCTTCTTTGCTTGTCCCTTTGCTTTCGCCTTCGGCTCCTTCTTCGCTTGTCCCTTTGCTTTTGCCTTCGCTTTGTTCTTCGGCTTGTCCTCCGCCTCCTCCAAAAGTACCTCATTCGTGGCCTTCTCGTCCTCTGCATCGAGATCGTCGTCCTCGGCCTTGACAGCCTGGTCGTCCTTGCTGCCCCTTGCGAGGCCTCGTCCACGACCACGGCCACGGCGGCCACGGCCGCGACCGCGTGGATTGCCTCGCCCTTGCACTGCCTCGTCTGTCTGCACCTCCGACAAGGTGGCGGCATTCCGGATCCTCTGCTGCACCTGCCAGAGCACGATTAAAACCGATCCAACTTAGAACCTGGGGCCAAAGCTGATAAGTAAACATCCAGGACTTTTTAGAAATTTGTAGAGCCGAAGGCTTTGGGCTGAAGGAGACATTGCGGAATCCATTATAGCATAGTCCCACATGATGTTTGGGTTCTACGGTTTCCTGGTTCATGATAGAGATTTCCAAATTGCTGCTTTGTCGGCTTTTATAATTCGGGCATTAGCTAGCTAGCCCTGGCAGTGAAACTTTTTGCGTCACTCATGCGACAGAGCCGGTTTCGACGAGTCAGCCGCTGGCTCCTGGGTTGGGGGTTTACAGGGGATTTGGTACTTCTAGGCTTTCTTGGCCTTTGGTAGGCTTTAGGGGTTTGGTGGATTCTAGGGATTTCGGTGTTTGGGCTTTCATATAGGTTTTCGGGGTTCGGGTGGCTTTAAGGATCTAGGGATTTTGGTGGTTGTATAGCGGGTTTGCGAGGTCCCTGTCCTTCACATCCTTCTCGCCATGCTCGGAAGCGGAATCATCCTGGGCCCAGCTATTATATAGAAGCCCCTGACGGAGTACTCCCATAAGACCCCCTTTACCTTATAGGACTGGTATGGGAGGCTTATGGGAAACTACAATATATAATATGATCTGATATATCCGAGCCACGATCTCGTAGACACCAGCGAAGCGTCGCTTCTTTGTAGATGGCTCCTGCAGGGCTACACACCCAACGGAAAAGCCCGTACATGAAGCCCAAAACCCTGAAGCCCTAAAGCCTGCACTAAGTCACTAAGCCCTCGACTCTACCCGAAAACTCAAATGTCCCAGCCTTGATTTTGGAGGTGTGCCCTCCCTCGGAGCTCGAGTCCCCCTCCACTGCTGGCCGATCCTTGGAAGGACTGAGTGTACACAAAACCCTGAAGCCCTAAAGCATGCACTAAGCCTGTACTTTACCCGAAAACTTCATTGCCCCAGCCTTCAAAGCGATTGGCCGCTTCTTCGTCGAGTCCACTGCAGGGTCATCCTGCAGGGACTAACTGATTATAGCGAAAGATACATCCACCCTACACCCCAGAATCCTTCAACCCCTAGCTTAGAATAGCCAAGCAACTCTCGGAGGACTTGGCTCATCCTGCAGGGATTAACTGCAGTTTATAAATACATGCACCCTACACCCAGAATCTTTCAACCCCTAGCTTAAAATAGCCAACGCCTCTGTGCTCGGCACATGTGTGCTCGCCGCAATAGGCCAAGGCCCAATCATGGGCGGAAGACATCTCGGAGGGCTTGCCGGCGCACGGGGCGGAGGTGGGGGAGGTGGCAGAGGCGGAGGCGGCGGTGCCAACGGAGGTGGTGGGGGGGGGGGGGTGGGGGGGGGGGGGGCTGTAAGGGGGCGGTGGGGGCCTCCCCCACTTCGACCGCAAATATTTCGCCATGGCTGAGCCCTGTGCACCCCTGCAGCCGGAAAGGCAGCAGTTATGTGCAATTGCACCCAATCCATCCAACCGCATGCTATCGCTACTTGAGGTTTTAGGGCTCGGTTGTTGGAAATTAGGGGTTTGACAAGAGGCTTTGGAACACATCAAGACCCTTACATTCCATATATGTACCGGTGTTGGGTTCTGGGTGTCGGGTTTGGGCAGTACCTCCTCAATTCTCCAAAAGCCACAAAGCACACCCGGGCACCTGGAGGACGTTTTCTTCGCCAGCCAGCTTCTTCTGCAGCTTCTCGGCCGCCTGCTGCAGTCCCTGACTGACTGAGGCTGCAGGCCTCTTCATACCTCTTCGCTCCTGCCTATGACAAGTCTTCAGCACTATGTACTCCTAAGGCAACGAATGCCTAGACAGCACAAAGCCTGAATCCTGAATGGAATCCTGCACAAACCCGCCAGGGCACTGCGATCCGAAAGCCACAACCCGCCCCGAAGCAATCCTTCTGGGCATCGGCATTCTTTTCGGCTTCTTCTCCTAAGGCTTCTTCGGCTGCAGCTGCCTCGGTGTCGCTGTCCACCGGCGTCGGCGGGGCATGGGGCTTGCAAGGGGTCTTTGGGAAGCCGGTAGGGTCGTCGGGGTCCGGAATGATTGCATCATTATCCATCTCCTCTTCTTCACCGCCCTCCTGAGCGTGGTCGGCCATGTCCTCGTCGTCCAAGTACTCAGCGGGTCCTGTGGCGGGGATTTAATCTCGGACCCAGGAGATCCGGAAGTTTAGGGGCAAGTTTGTTGGGGGTTCGTGATAGCTCGGGCTCCTGGGCTCAAGGCTTAAAGAAGTTAACCGATCCTATCACATCCCAAACTTGCATACTGGATCAATTGGGGTTTACGGTTAGGGTTCTGTAGAGCTCAAAGTCGGAGAATTCCCAACCCTTTAAACCGCCACCCCGCCTGAGCCTTCCGAGAAGTCTCCCCACTCCCTGGTCGGCAGCCGATTGGGGTCTTCCACAGGAATCTTTCTCTCCTGTGATCAGAGTGCGAGGTGATATATTACAAATCGTTTGGATTCACTTATTCGGTGTCCTGATCTTTTTCTTCTTGCAAAGTGTTCACCAGCTTCTTGAGAAGGCCCATGTTCTTGCTGCCGGTCCTTTGGTCTAGAGCGAAAAGAGAGGGATTCTCAAGAAAACCGAACCTGGCCGGCCTGGTGTCAGAGTTACGGCGGCTGCGGTCCATGACGTGCGACATCAGGGCCCTGTGCAAGTCCCCCTCGGTTTTCGCCCACGCCTGCCCGAGAAACACCGAATATTCCGATGGCTTCGTGCAGGCTGGGCGGCTCGGCGTGAACAATTTCCTGCCTCGCGGGCTGCATCAGAACACTTCTTTCCCAGAAGTTTGCGATCGCTGGCGACGTTCTCAAGGGCTGCTTTCGTCTCGGCAGACGTGGGTATCCTCAAGCCTAGGGTCGTCAGGAGCCTCGCGACCAGCTTCGCGTTGCAGTCGTCCTCGACCTGGGCCGGGTTTAAGGGCTTGGGCATCAACCCCCGAAGCAGGAAACCCTAAACCGAGTACGACCGGGCTGGGTATTTGGGGTCCCAAATATTCTAAGGGTTTGCGGTTTAAGGCTCAGGGTTAAGGAATATATTGAATATATGGTCCATAAGACGAAATCTTCCTGGCGATCTGAAGGTCCGAAAGCCCACAACCCCCAGAACCCTAAGCACCTCATCCCGGCCGATGGTTCCGCCCCGGAGGTTCACGAAGGAAAACACCACCGGAGCCTTTCAGAGGCTTGTGGCAGCATTTACAGGGCTAAGGCTTTACCCAGATTTGCGGATTTGTGTTTGCAAGAGGGCCTTCCCCTGCTTCAGCAGCCGTTGCATCTTTTCGGCTCGCACATTGTTCAGCTTGCACAGCTCCGTGACCCTTCTCTCCTGGTAGTCATTGGCCTCCAGGATGGAGGTGTAGAGCTCCTGACAGACAAATGGTAGGCAACCACCCTGGAAACCAGCTCCCCAATCCCTTGTGCCTGCAAAAAACGCACCCGAAGCGACGGAGGCTTGCTCTTCGGCATCCGCAGCACCAGGGCACCAGCAGTGCTGATGCGTGGAGAAAAAAAAGCTCTTGAGCACCAGCAACCGCCCGGAAGCTGCTTTTAGTAAGACATGACCTCCATACTACCCACATGCACTAAGTCAAGACTGGCCGGGGCAACCGCCGGAGTCCGTCTCATTTTCCACGATCTCATTCTTAATATCCAGACCTTGAGTCCAACAGAAAATTAGCATCGATGTCACGTGGAAACCCCTCCCCGAGCAGCTGGGATCACTGCGAGAAAGCAAGGCCTTTTTCATAGCCAATCATCAGACCGTACCTCAGGATCAGTACTCTCAGTCAATTCCCTGCCAGAAGCTTGGGCACCAACGGAATCTCCTCGATCGGCGCCAGCAGAAATCATCGATCCGTACCTCGCTCCCCGTAGAAATCGCTAGGATTAGACCTCTAAAGTCGAGATTCTCGGGCACCAGCCCAACAATTCGGAGATCGGCACCAGGAGAGCCCGCCAAAATCCATATGTACCTGGGTGCAGGAAAGTGCACAGTTTTACACAGGAACCGAGACCCTGGGGCACCATCCGACATCAGCGAAGATCGAGGGCACACCCATGGCGAGCCGGAAAAAACCCTGACATCAACCCTGTAAGTGCAGGGCTGTTTCTCTAAATCATATTATTACATGCGGGGCGGGACTAGAGGGCCTTAAAGCTTGGGGCTGAAATTATATATGGAGTTGGGACATCGTGTGGCTTGGGGCTCGGTACGTGAACTCGCAGCTTAGCGGCGGTTCCACAAGCAAGGTTTTGAGGGTTTAGGGTTTCAGGGGACTCAAAACCCCAAACCTTGAACCCTAGGGTTGGGAGCCGCTTGGTGGGATAAATCGGGGTCGTTTCCATTATGTCGGTGTAGGGTAAAACAGGGTGGTTGACATTGATATTGTGGATTACTGTGTCGGGGCAAAATAGGGTGGTTTCCATAAAGTTGTGGTTACATGATCTACAACATCAGGTGGGGAAAAGTAGGGGCGCTCGGGGCCCAAACCGGGTGGTTCGCAACCACCCCAAAAACTATGGTCGAGGAAGCACAGGGTATATATATATACATATATATATATATATGTATGTATGTATGTATGCATGTATGTATGTATGTATGTGCATCGTGGGGAACGTGTATGTTTTTATATGTATATAGATATAGACATACATACATACATACATATACATGTACACGTACATGTACATGTGTATGTATGCATGTATGCACGTGCAACTTTTCACAGACAAAGCATGCGTCACACACACACACACACGTACATGCAAGCTTTGGAGCAGAAGAAGTTCGGCAGCGCGTCCCATGGACCTTACACAGGTGTAGAGTTCAGGGGTTTGGGGGTGACAATAATCAATATAGATGCCCTTAACCCTCATAAACCCTAATCCCCTGAACCCTGAGCCTCGAACCCCCAAAGCTGAACCCTTATAAACCCCTAAACCCCTGCAAACCCCTAAGCTTTGCAAGCCCCAAACCACTGAGAAGCCCCCCTAAATCCCCTGAGGCTCCATCTACCCGCATAGTACAAACTTGGGCCTTCGAGAGTTCAGGGTCTAGGGTTTAGGAGAGGGTATAGACTTACCGTAAATGGGGTTGGGGTTTAGGGTTTAGGGTTTAGGGTTTAGTGGGGTTTAGGGTTTAGGGTTTAGTGGGGTTCTTATGTAGGTACTCTTCGGACAATTTCTACACCAAATGGGCACATGGAGCCGAAGGAAACCCTTGTACATGTAAACCCTTATAAGGCCTCATAACCCTGAAAAAAACCCGAAACCCTCAAAACTCTGGAGAGCGGTCGACTGTGCGGCCTGGGATGCATGTGAGCAAAGTTTTCGACGGCCCTTTGGACTGCGTCTTTTGGGGCGAGGGCAAACAAGACAAAACCGCCCTTCTGTCAGGCTGAGCTCGCCGATGCCTTCAGGCAAGCTCGTGGCCGGCGTGGCCAGCTCCGGAGTCGCTGCACCCATCGCGGTCGGAGTGAAAACATCGACTACTTGCTACTTCTTGCTGAAAGCGTGCAAGCCAAAGCTCGGGGAGCAGCCAGAAACAAAGTTCGGTTGCAACGCCAAACAGCAGCACTTCGCGGAGTTCCTGCCTTGGATGAGAACGACAGCTCGTCTTCAGACAGCGGCCGCGACAGCTGAAAAATGCCCGTTGCCACGGTCTACACGTCGTGCACCCAAACTCGGTCCCTCTACAAGGGCAAAACGTCACAGTTAGGCGAGGCCTCTCAAGAAAACGCGTCTATGTAAGACGATGCATTTTTGCAGAGAATAACGTCTATGTAAGACGATGCGAAGTAAGGTATTTTTACAACTACTATTACGGCTACTATGGCTATGTCCAGCACGTTTGTATGTTGTTATTGTACCACGACAAGAAGAAAAAGCGATAACATGAGTTCAGGGATCAGTATATTTTATTACGGGATTAGTCTACAACCCCTTTTGGAGTTGTTCCCTTCAGGGATCAGTATATTTCAATACGGGGTTCGTACTTGGAGGGCCGAGGGACCTAGTAAGTAGGTAGTAAGTAGACTTATAAGTACCCTAAAAGGGACCCTAATTGGGGTTATGGTACTTATAAGTCCCTAAAAAAACCAGTTACTAAGTCCCCCGACCCTCCAAGTATACGACCCCTTGTGGAGTTGTTCCCTGAGGCTCCTGGCCGCAGCGGCCGAGGCCGAAGAGTCGGGCCTCGAGATAGAGGCGACGGTGGTTTTTTTTATAGGTTTGTTTTGTGTTTTTGAGGTTTTAGGTTTTTAGGCGATGGTGGGTGTTTATAGTTTTGTTGTTTTGATGTTTTTGGTTTAGGGTTAGGTTTGTATGTTTCTGTGGGGTGTTTTGCGATGGTAGGGTTGTTCTTGAGCTGTTTTGTTTATGACTGCTTTATGTTGTTGTTTTAATGGTCCCGTTGCTGCTATTGTTTATGATTGTTTAGGAGTGTTTTTGCGGTTTGGGGTTTAGGGGTTAGGGGAGTTCGGCTAGGGGAGTTTAGTCCTTTAAAGTTCTGCACGTGTTTGTGTGCTCTATCGGTGCTTCTGTGTTGGCGTGTAAGATGGCCTTCTTAGATTGTCAACGGGTTCGTTCTGAGATTTACAGTAATTTATAGGTTTTCGGGAGTTTCTTTATAGGTTTGTCTACGGAGGAGGGGTCCTGGGATTCTAGAGGGCTACTAGAGGGTTGATGGGATTGTACACAAGGTTCTAGTCTGTCAGGTGTCTTCTGCTTTTGGAAGTTTGAGGCTTCCTTGGAGGGTTCTTTAAAGGGGCTTGCGGCTGCAAAGATATGCAACTTCGCTAACTTCGGGACCAAGGTCCCAAGCTGTGTCAGACTGCAGTCAGTTGATCTGTCGTCTTTTTTTGGTGTCAGGTTGTCCAATATTTTAGTATGCCTTGTTATACTTTACTAGATACTACATGTTATTGTTTTCTATATTATACTACATGATGTTATGTAGCGGTAAGAAATAATTCTTAATGATTGAATAATTATAATCCATAAGAAACAGCCAAGTTTATAGTTTTGCTAGGGGTTAAGTCCAGTATAGGTTTTGTTCTAGGATACTGTACTAGTTGGAGGATCATGGGACTTAGTAAGTAAGGCTATAAGTACCCCAATTGGAGTTATAAGTATAGTTACCTTATGTATAACCCTAGTTACTAAGTCCCATGAACCTCCAAGCGCCCGGACCTGGAGGAGGGCGACGAGGCGGCACAGCGCCGTGCTCTGGCCCTGTATCGCCAGGCCGGCAGGGTGAGTCTGTTGAAAAACCCTAAACCCCTAAACCCTAAACCCCTCAACCCTTATATTCCTAAACCCTAAAACCCCAAACTTTAAAAAAACCCAAACTTTAAACCCTAAACCCTTAAACCTATACCCCTCAAGCCCTAAACCCTAAGTCTGTTGAGGCTCCAGTTCCTGGGTTCCTGAGAGGTAAGTACCCTGTTTCCCTTTTTGTATTTAGGGCCCCCTTACTAAAAACCATCGAATAGTAGGAAAAGGGTGGACCTTCATTCTAAAGGGGCTACTCTCCGAGGGTAAAAGGAGGGACCCTTTTCTAAGGACCCCCAGGTATATGCCCTTAATATAGCTATTATATACCCATTATATCGCCCATTATAGGGACCCAGGGGTCCCCTTTCAGGGTCCCTCCTTTTCCCCTTTGATACACCCTAAACCCTAAACCCTTTATAGAATCCTTATAGATCCCTAGTATAGATCCCTTTAAGGAACCCTATATAATCCTTATAGATCCCTAGTATAGATCCCTTTAAGGAACCCTATATAAGGGTCCCCATTCAGGGTCCCTCCTTCTCCCCTTTTGAAACTCAGGAACCTAGGAGTTCAGAGGTCAAGAGTCTGGGCCTTAAGGGTTCAATGCGGTTTAGGGTTTAGGGCTTAAGGGTTTAGGGTTTAAGGTTTAGGGTTTAGGGTTTAGGGTTTGGGGTTGAAGGTTTAGGGTTTAGGGTTTAGGGTTTGGGGTTGAAGGTTTAGGGTTTAGGGTTGAAGGTTTAGGGTTTGGGGTTGAGGGTTTAGGGTTGAAGGTTTAGGGTTTAAGGTTTAGGGTTTAGGGTTTAGGGTTGAAGGTTTAGGGTTTAAGGTTTAGGGTTTAGGGTTTAAGGTTTAGGGTTTAAGGTTTAGGGTTTAGGGTTTAAGGTTTAGGGTTTAAGGTTTAGGGTTTTAGGTTTAGGGTTTCAGGTTTAGGGTTTAGGGTTGAAGGGGTTTAGGGCTTAGGGTTTCTTTAGGCTTTGGAGCTTGAGTGGCGTTGCAAGTAAATAGAAGATCCAGGGACGAACGTCCTTCTCAGATGTTGCTGGCTTCTCGAATGTAGGTGCTCGGTTTCCTACAACAGAAAACATGATCTCTGCTTGTAAATATGTGGGATGTTTGGTTTCGGTCGTGTTGGTTTTCTTTCAAACCCTACCTACCTGGAATCACATGGCCGTCCTCCATCTACAGGCACGTAGGGACAATCCCAAACCCACAATCCGAACCCACGTGCGACTTAATTGAGCTTGTCAGCAGTACAGCGCCATCGACACCCCAAGGCTTGTGGAATAAAGCACAACACCTGACCCCCCATGCAAGCAGGAACTCCTCTAGAAGGGGTCTTCCTTGAGACATCTTGAATGTTGCAGGCCCACAGCATCCTCAATGAGCTTCCACTCGAGGAGGCGGGTGTGGGGTTCAGGGTTCCTTGTCTCAGGGAACTGCAGACACAACCCGACTGTTCCCGTAAGCGTTCCTTTAGGGGCAGCCGGTGAAAGAAGCAGAGAAGGGTGAGGGCCCAGGGTTCGCGCAGAGGAATTCAGAGGAAGCCTCGCTGAGATAGGCATCCTGCGTCACCATGCTACTGCAAAACCGGTTTAGGATTCAGGTATGTCTCTTTTCTTCTCTTCTCAACCGGACCGAACCATTCTATTCCACTGATTCTCACAACTCGAAGCCCTAAGCCCAAAGCTGAAACTGCAAAACCTAGGCCCAGAACACTCACGCAAATTAAGCCACAAAGACATGTAAATCCGAAACTCAAAGCCCTCAGACCCAAGGTGTGCAGCGACTACAGGGTGCTTGAAGCCTTGCTGCGGCTGCCACATGGCTTCAGAGACTCGGTGTTTTGCACCCTGAACCTTAGACGGGAGGGTTTGGGGTGACTAGGCAGAACATCGCACTTGATCACGGAGAACTTCATAGCATGTGCTCGCTGTCGTATTTGTCAAGCAGATCGTCCGGTGAGTACCCATGCAGCTGCAGATGCATGCCCTGCACTTCAATATGTCTGTCACAGCTTGCTGCGAACCGAGGCACATTGCTTGTGCGCCTTTTGGCTGCACTGAACACAGACTATAGCAATAAGATCCCTGACCCTAAACCCTAAGCCTGTCCCCTAACCGCAGTCACGCCCTAAGCTGAACAAGACATGCCTTTGCACACCCGTATATAGTAACCCCTGACCCCTCAACCCCGAAAGGCTAAACTCTCAACCCCGATCCTTAAGCCCTATCCCGGAACTCCAGCGCCTAGTCCAAACCACATAGCTTTTGCTGCTTCGGCCTTCTTGAAATTGGGGATCCTTGTGGTGCGCTTATCGAGGTTCACGGATTATCAGGAACCAGGCAAACAAAGCAGACGCCCAAACAAAGAGCAGTATCATGATCATGACAAGGGCAGTTAATCCCAAACCCCCAAAACCTCTGAGCCCTAGAGCCCTTAACTCCCAAACTGAAAATCCCCAAATCCTAAAGCCCTAAACCCCAAGCCCTTAACTCCTAAACTGAAAATCCCCAAATCCTAAAGCCCTAGACCCCCGAACCCTAAGCCCTCCTGCACTTTAAAAAAAAGAACCCTAAGCCCGAGACCTTAGTCCCAGGCGTGTACTTACGCTCCTGGGCCAGCCATATTTGGCCATGCAGGAGGCGGCGGAGGCGTGGAAAGCTCGGGTTGAGGATCTGGGTTTTAGGGTTTGTAAGTTTATAGGGTTTAGGGTTGGACTTTTGCTTTGGGTTTAGGGTTTGGGGCTTTGGGTTTAGGGTTTGGGGTCTATTTTTGGACCTTTGGGTTTAGGGTTTAGGGTTGGACTTTTGACTGCTCTCAGACTTGCTTCTCACCAGCTTTGTAAGCGTGATGCTGCCCCAGCATTGACCGGAGCAGATCGTGTATAGGAAAGCTCGCAGTGCCCGAATAGAAACCACCTGTACCTAAAGCGCTGAGCCCCAATCCCCTAAACCCTAAACCTCTACACCCCTAATACCCCCTAAACCCCTAATACCCCTAATACCCCTGAGCCCTAAACCCTTAAACCCCGCAGCCAAAAAAGACGAGGCCCTTCGCCTCCCGTCTCCCGCCGCCGTCGGTGGGGCCGCAGTACCGACGAAGATCGCCGAGGTGGCAAGTCGCTGGGCTTGGGGTTTAGGATCTCTTAAGGATTTAGGAGTTTATAGGGGTTTAGGGGTTAGGGGTTTAGGGTTTTAGGGTTTCAGATCCCTTTAGGATTTAGGAGTTTAGGGGTTTAGGGATTAGGGTTTCTTGTTTTGGGGTTTTAGGGTTTAGGGTTTGCGTTTCAGAAGGGTCGATCCTGGAGCCTGCGTATATGCATAAGAGTTTTTTGGAGTTTCCTACGTCTTACGTTTAGGGCCTAGGGTTTAGGCATGGGGCATTTGGCCAAAACATCCTGCATGTTGGCCTTCATGGCAAGGAATTAGCCTCGAAACTCAGCGACATTACGGAAGGTTTCGATCGGTTGTGTGCGAGCTTATCCGACTTACGGTATGAGTTAGAAGGGGCCCCCACCCTGTAACAGTGATATAATAGGAATATAATAGGGCCCTACTATAATCCTTATATACCGCTACTACATCATGGGGGCAGCTTCTAAGGTATGAGGCCCAGGAAGAATCAAGATGGTCAGCTGCGATATTCGTACGAGATGCACATGGTTCAGTTTGAGCTTTGAGCCTCTAGCCGGCAATTCCATATGAGTGGTTGTCAAAATTATGGTCCCTTTTTGGGGTACCCTAAATATTAGGTGCCGCATTATAATAAGGACCCAAAAAGGGACCCTAATTTTGACAACCACCCATATGGCCCGCTCAGGTTAAGGTATTTCATCTGATGCTTAAAATGCTAAGCACCAGCAGAAAGCTGACGAAAGAGATGGCACGGTACGACACGACACCCGAAGGCCCCATAGTAGTTCCTTTTTGGGATTACCTTATAGAATTCTGGGTTTAGGGTTTAGGGTTTAGGGATAATATGAACCCCAAACCGGAACTACTTTGAGGCCTTTGGGCACACCCGAAGGCGACAGTTCCCCGACGGACCCACAGGCGCAGCGGCTCCAAGCGAAGGCAGTCCTTACCATGGAGAAGGCCTCGGGGTTGAAAGGCTTAAAGGGTGCCCTGGGGTTTAGGGTTTAGGACTTTGGGCTTAAAGGGTGCCCCTGAACCTCATGGCCGGAATCTAAGTGTAGCTCATGGCAGGCATTGTGCCTTCAATATGCATCCTTTGTTGAAGCGCCAGGACTGCCGAATGATGTCCGTGTAGTTATTGCTTTAAGTTCTTGCCTGTTGCCACGTGAAGCTTAGAAGAACCGCTACTGTACATGCATATGGCAGAGTTCTCTGCGGTACCAGCAGCTATGACATCAAGCTAGAGCCTAAACCCTAAACCCTAAACCCCAATCCCTGAACCCTAATGCCTAAACCCTAAACCCCTAAATCCCTAAATCCCAAACCCCTAAACCCTAAACTTCAATCCCTAAACCCCTAAACCCTAAGCCCTGAACACCCCGAAACCCTGAGCCGATCTCATCCGAGTAGAGAAAAAACTGCTCCGAAGCTGAGAATCAAGGGGGAAAAGGAGGGACCCTTAACGGGGACCCCTGGGTCCCTATAGGGAAGAGGGCTCCTTTAAAGGGGTCTATAAGGACTACCATAAGGGGCTATATTGAGGGTTTAGGGTTTAGGATATAATGGGCTATATAACGGGTATATAATGGCTATATTAAGGATATATATATATATATATATATATATACCTAGGGGTCCTTATTAAGGGTCCCTCCTTTCACCCTTGGAGAGAAGGCCAACGAGATGTACTATGGAGATGAGAGTCTCTCGGGTGCAATGAGTCTTCTATACATCTATGTATGTATGTATTTGTTTATTTTTTATTTAGTTAGATATGTACTTATTTCTATTTTCATGGTACTAGAATATAGGGGCCTAAATAACTACCAATACTATTTTGGTGGTTCCTTTTTTAAAGTATATAACGGACCCAAAACCCTGTTCTAACTATTCAGGCCCCTATATTACCTTGAGTCGAGGGGTGATGCCCTCAGCATCAGGCATCGTCCCACATGCCAAGGGGACACTGTTCGAGTATTTGCAGCCACAAGGGCATTAGCTGAATGTGCTTTTGCCCTTAGTCTCGCTGCCGGTGCTGTGCGTGTGTGCGTGTTTGGTCGACCACCCCTCCCCCCAATGCCCCGCCTCTCTGAGCCAGTGTCCCCAGCTTAGTACTTCGGTGAGAGATCATCGAGGGAAGAGCTTTGTTCCTGTGATGTGGGCTGTCTTGCCAACTTTCCAATTCCAACCCAAGCCGCCCGGCTTGGGGGGGCGGGCCCATGGAGGTTCGGGTGGCACATCCCTCCCCTAATCCCCGGCTCGGATCGAGGGGCCCGGAGCGTTGAACTCTGCACCGGAGCCCTGATGACGTATGCGGAGGGGCAAAGAAGGCGAGAGGGACCGTTTCCGTAGGCCGGAGAGCACCCCAGGTCGACACTCACTCACTCACTCACTCATTACCTTGACAGGAGAACAGGTTGTCCCGAAAATTTTGACTCCCAGAGCCCATTCGACGAATACCGTTTTGTGGACTGTGGCCCTGGAACCAAGGACGGAGGCATCCAGACCCCTAAACCCCTAGGCTTTGAACCCTTTCTTGTTTTAATGTTTGACGGTTTAAGGCTCCGTAAAGTAGAAGCTGTCCCCACCCTGTAATAGTGACTCTAAGGATTATATTAGGGCCCTATTATACTCCTATTATACGACTAGTACAGGGTGGGGGCCCCTTCTAATCCATAAAGCAAATAAAGACCGTTAGCCTTGGCCCCTAGGCGAGCATTTGCTCATCCTGCGCGCCGTTCGGCGGGGCCTCGTGGGGCTCAGCGCGGCAAACCTGGCGAAGGAAGCAGACCTCAAGGACCCCCGGCGTTTTGGGTTTAGGGATTTAGGGTTTAGGGTTTACGGTTTAGGGTTTTGGGTTTTGGGTTTAGGGTTTAGGGTTTAGGGCGTTTTGGGGTGTCGAAGGTCTCTCATTAACGGCAGTGCACGGTTTTGAGTTTATTGGGCCTTACAAATGTGCTAATGCTCCGACGCGGTCAGAAGGGACCTGCAAGGGGGATTCTAGAAAGCCATGCTTGTGGAACCCTTGCCATACGATCACCACTCTTATTGACTGTCATTCTTGCTGTCGTCGTTCTGAATATGAACCAGAAAGCCCTAACCCTAAACCTCGAATCCCGAAATCCCAAACCCCTAAAACTCTAAACCCCTTAAGCCCTAAACATACCCTGAACCACCCACACCTGTAAACCCCAAACCACTGAATCCTAAACACCTGAACACCAAATCCTAAATCCTGTTTTATACATCTTGAACCGCTAAGCAGCAAGACTTCAGCACATAAACACAACCACTAAACCCCTGTTTGCCCTATTTTGTACACACTGAAGCCCGAAGCATCAAATTTAGAGCTTAAGCACCTAAACACAACCCTGAACCCTGAGCCCTTAAAACAAAAGACAAAATGCTAAACCTCATAGGAGGCCAAAAGGGGTTCTAGCCTATGGGGGTTTAGTAGGGATTAGGGTTCCCATAATACGGTTCATATTGAGGAATCCCTGCCCCAAGAAGAATCTTAAACTCCCCCTTTTGGCCTCCCATCAAAACCCTGAGCCCCTAGAGGCTTCGTTTCGCGCTTGCTCCCGTAGGATCTGGAGCTGATTGAGCTCCTAGCGGCAGGCGGTGATGTTCAGAGTTTCGAGTTTGGGAATCCGGGTTTGGGGCTTTGGCTTTGGGGCTGGGGGTTTAGCCAGGTTTCGGGAAGGTCTTGGATTAGATGATATAAGGGCCCGAATAATACTATATGGAACGGTAACTCCTGAGAGTTCCTTAGTCTTCAAAAGAAGAATAGTAGAACATACCTAAGGCCGCTCTTCTGATCATTAGGGCCTCTAGAGTATATGTTTTGGGTACGTCTTGCAATGTGCCCTACTAAGATTTTTGATGTTAGGTTTTGAGTTTTGGACGTTTTGGGCTTGGGTTTTGGGGTCTTGGGGTTCGAGCCGTTCCACTCAACGCCACAGGGGCCAAACTCAACGAGCTCATTCCCAAATTCTAAGCCCTACCTGTAGCCGGAAAGACCTACCTTTTTAGGGTATTATGGATTCTATATATAGTTCCCTAAAAAGGTAGGTCTTTTCGGCTACAGGTAAACCATGAACCCCCAAAAAACCATAAACCCGAAGCCCTGAGGTGGGCGGCCCTTCGACAGCGAGGGCCGACTGATTCAGAGGCCTGGTGAGCAGAAGTGGGGAAGGGCTCAGGACGTCAGGCTTCCTGGGTTTAGGGGTTCAGGGGTTTAGGGGTTTAGGGATTGGGGTTTAGGGTTTTAGGGTTTTAGGGTTTAGGGTTTCAGGGTTTAGGGTTTTAGGGTTTAGGGGTTTAGGGTTTAGGGTTTTTGAGGGTGTCAGGTCTACTAGTCTACTGGTGTTGGGTGTAGTTCTTTGTTACTTTTTCGTTGACCTGTTCCTTAAAGGAGCCCTTGTGAAAGAGACGTTTGCACCTTTTTTCTCCCTGGTCGCTTCAAATCTGTCACAATCCTATGAACTTTTCCGACCTGGAACAGGATCACGGTCCCGCGCGCCCTAGCATCCCAAATCCCTACGTAAATCTCGTTCTGGAGCCCTACAGCCAGGAATGCTAAGCCTTATCTAAACCCATCAACCCTAAATCCAATATATTTTCAAGGCATACACCTGGAAAAGGCTCACTACTACTTTTATAATGAAACACCGCAGTGCGCAAACCATAAACCTCGGAAGTCAAAAAGGTAGACACCCAACCCCGTAATAAACCCTACTTAGGGCGTTACTTCTAGTCGCCTCTAAACGCTCGGCCCCGCCCTAAACCCGAGAACCTCTGCAACAAGAACATGATGTGCAGGGCTGCGTCCTTCGGAAAGCTTCACGCAGCCGGTTCGGCGGCGCAGGTCGTCACTGCAAGGTGCAAAAACATCTAGGATGTTGTTGGTGCCTAACTGGTCTATCTAGGGTCGTACAGTATGCTTCTGATGGGATTGGAGTATAGAGTTTGGGTGGCGCTTTGGGTTTGAAAGCCTTTGCTGAAGGGAGGTGAAGGGTTCCGTTCATTGCGGTGCCATTATGGATTAGTATAGGGGCCTGAATAGCTAAATTTGGTGTATCTCTGATACAGCATATTCAAGCTGGAAATTCACGGGGATCATATGACTGCACGAACCACATGCCAACACAATACGTGCATGAAGTCTTGTGAGTCTAGTGCAGAGTTAAACTTCTGCAGAAAGCGGCGCTGGGCGAAAGAAACAACGAAGAGTCTTCCCAACATGAAAGAATACAGTGAAAGAGTCTTGTCTAGTCTTGTCTTGTCTGCCTGTAGTTTTCTGTATGAAGAATGTAAATTTCTCTGTTCTTACCAATAAAAGATCTCCCTAAACCTTAAATCCCTAGACCCCTAAACCCTAAACCCTTAAAGAATAAAAAACCACGCTTGACTTACTCAACTTCAATGCCCCGAACAGGCGCCAAGCACGCCGAGCTTCAACGTTGGGGGCTTACGCAGCTGAGTCCCTGGCAAACTGCGTAGTAGCTGATAGCTGGGTCGGGAATCTCCAATTATTGTTTCGGCTTGCACCCCGAACCCAAACCGTATTTGATCTTCGTTGGAAGACAAATAACAGAACCTCAAACCGTATGTGATATTCGCTTAGAAGACAAATTACACATGTGGTTTTCAGATAATAGGGCCCCAAATATCGAGCCCTAAGTAGAAGGATACTTTTGCAAGGACCGCTAAGCATTGCAACTCCCAATCTGCAGGTAAGTTCAGGTATCATATTACGGTTGATGATATAAATCCTGCATTACCTTAAGGACCCTAAACTATGGGAATTATGGTATATTCCTTATTATGGGTAATGCAGGATTTATATCATCAACAGTACCAGCAGCTTTTTTTCCCCGACGAAACAACGTGAGACTTGGGGTGTTGGACCCTGAAACGGTCCGCCAGATACGGGGTCCTTGTGTGCGTGGAAAGGAAGGCGTCTGTGTGTGTGTTCGCCTGAATTCCCAAATCGGAATTTGCCGGAAACTCCAAACCATATACCCTGAATACGTAAATCCTAAATCCTATACCATAACCCTAGAAGCCCTAAACCCCCCATCCTTCCAAACAGCTCGCCCGGTTCTCGGTGTGAGGCCCACCTGTGGACTGGGTCGCTGCTGTCCCCCAGCTGCCAGGCCCCTGTTAGGGCCACTCTCGGGGGGGGGGGGGGGTTATTATGAGGGTTGCTACATGGGCTATAATAGAGCTTTTTATGAGGGTTGCTATAGGGGTTCTATGAGGGTTGCTGTAGGGGTTTTATAAGGGGTACTACGGGTCTCATGGGGGATGAGGGTTTGAGAAGTTTTACTACAGGGGTTTAAGTTTAAGGCTTCGGCTTGAATAGTTCCTTGACAGGTGCCCTTAAGGGTCACATGAGGCGTTTCTGCTGAGGTTCCTTATTGGGTGGGCCTCGGTCTGAAATAGGCGTCGGACAATGAGCAACCGTGAACCCCCGGGTTTAGGCCCTTATTATCGTAAACCACTTTTTTCTGAGAGTCGCCCTTTGTTTAGTACCCTTTTTAGACCCTTATCATAGTACTTTTTGACTAGGCCCTTATTGTAATGAATCCCTTTTCTGAGAGTCGCCCCATGAGAAGGCCAGCCAGCGAGTCCGGCAGGCGATGCCTCTCCGCAAGCAGGCGGCCGCTTCTTCATCTTGAAGCCCCCCAAAAAAAGGATGAAATAAGGCTGCTTTAAGGAACTGAACAGTTACCCCAAAAAGGATGAAACAATGCTGCTTTAAGGAACTGAATAGTTACCCTTATTTTTTGGGTGGGTTCCTTATTATAATTATAGTATAATGTACCCCGAAACCCTGTTCTAATTATTAAGTCCCTCATACTATATAGACCTAAATTATACTGCAAGCGTTCAATCACTATATGGGCGACCATAAGGGTGCTATATGGGGGCTTCCGTAATGAGGCTTGAATAATGACAAATCGCCATTCCTTAGAGTAGTTTGCATTATACGGCAAAGCCCTATTCTAGTTCAACTACGAACGGCATAAGAGCTCTATGGTGGACAATAGCAACGTTGAGCTTCCAGGTATGGTTCACTTTTTATAGTACCTGTTGTGGGACTCTGTGCCTTTAACAACCTGCAACACTCCTGCCACTCCTTAGAGCTCGTTGTTTGGTATCCGGATCTCGTACGACTCCACGAGCCCTGCGCCCAAAACCCAAAGCCCGAAACATGCTTCAATTCCCGGAAGCCGAAATCGCCCAAAAATGAAGACGACAACCGACGAACCCGAACCCTCTCCGTCGGCAAGGCCCCGCAGTGATTCCGGCGGACGATGCCCCTCTGCGGGCAGGTGGGCGGATGGGTCCTCCGAGGGTCTCCGGCCTACAGCAGCTATCAGCAGTGTGTGCATACTTGTAGTTATAAGGTTATGAATGTTCAGGTGCCACGAACCAAAAGGCCGGCCTTAGGGGTTGTGGTTTGGGGTTTGGGGTACCAACATGGCATAGATATTTCATTTTGAGATTTAGGCAGTAGGGGCCCACAAGATTCTATGGTTCACTTTCCACACATGGGCAAGAGAGTAGGGGAAAGGGAGGCACAGAGAGAGAGAGAGAGAGAGAGACAGAGAGAACCACATCTGCACTTGTAGACACCAAGTATCCCAGTCAGGACTGTAAGCCCTAAACACCGAAACCCTCATCCACAAAGCCAGCCTTAAAATCCTGAACCCTAAACCCAAAAGTAAACGCTTAAAGAATTCCGACCCCAAACTCCTAAACCCTAAGCCCCCGAACCCCAAAACCCCTGAACCCTATACCTTTAAGCCCACAAAACCAATCTATACAAGCCCCTCAAACCGGAAACCCGAAGCCGGAAAATCCCGTCCTGCTGGCCCTACACCTTAAGCCCTATACCCGAACCCCATAAACCACTCCCTAAGCCCCAAGCCCTAGAATCCCTCTGAGCCCTGAATCCCTAAACCCGCAAGCCCTGAGCCTATACAAGTACAGTAGAAGCCAGAAAGTTGGAACATGGCTTTAGGAGGATTAGTGCTAGGATCCCTTATACTTTACCTTAAGGGTATGAGGACAATTATGTTCCAACTTTCTGGCTTCTACTATAAGCCTAGAATGCAGGAGGCCGCAAAGCAGCTCGGGGGTCCGCCATCCTTCTATCGGGAGGTGGGAACCCCTTCCTAGGATGCCCAGTAGTACCCTTATTCCCTTTTTGTAGTCCTAGGTTCCTTATAAAGTTACCCAATGCCAAAAAGAGAGGCCTTTTTATTCTTAGGTTACTGGGTATCCTAGCTTCGTTTTCGGATTTAGTGCTCAATGTATTGATGTTAAGATTTTGGGGCTTTGGGGGTTTAGGATTTTAGGGTTTGGGTTGGGGTTTCAGGGTTTGGGTTATCGGGTTTTGGGGCTTTGGGTTTGCGGTTTCGGTTTTTATTGTGGGTTTAGGATGTAGGAGTTGTGGAGTTTAGGATTTAGGCATTTTGGGGGCTTATGAAGTTAGAGGGTTGGGTTTCAGGGTGTTTGGCGGTATGCGGAAGTAAGGGTGTTTAGGCATTTTAGAGTTTTCGGGTTTCGGGATAATAGGGGTTCCTTTTTGACGATTTTACTAGCTTCTCTAAGGGCTGTCTAAATTGCTTAAGGGTCGTACAGAGATCTTGGGTGACTGGTGCCTTAGTACAGGCTCTGGGGCTACTCTGGATCCATAGCAGAAGAACCCACACCAGGTTCCCCTAGTTTTGCAGAAACAATCGTGTCGGTAGCACCGAAAATTAAACCGGTGATCGTTTTGGGGCCCGAACAGAAGGACCCAACAAGGGGCCCTAAATTTAGAGAACTGTCCGCATATTTTGTTTGCAGACAATCGTCAAGGCTAGTGTGGCAAAGCTCTTGTTCTCTGAACACGGAGCTCAACGTGAACCTACTTTTGAAATGCCTGAGACAAGGGGGCCATCCCATAAGCTAGCCACATGATGTGTTTCAACTATGGCAGTACTCATAGCATGATATCAATGTCCGTTTACTCTCAAGATAAGCCCCACAGCCCCTTGAAGGTATAATTTGCCCAGTATCCTACGCCCCATGACCTTGATATACTCTTTTCGCAATATTATTCCTTACAGTGGGGTTCCTTCTGCTCTAGATAAGTCCAGTTTCAAGCTCGCTCTGCCGCAGTGAGCCTCGCTTGCCGCCCAGCGCCTGGGCAGCTCCTCCTCACTCTCTCGCGCCTGCACGCGGGAGCAGCGCCGGTCGAAAAAATCCAGGGCTCATGTACATAATGTGTATGTGTACCATGATGATGAAGATGCTGCTGATGATGATCGTGATGCTGATGGTGATGATGATGCTGATGCTGGTGATGATCATAATGACGATGATGATGTTGCCGGTCATCATGCTGCTGATGATGATGATGGTTAAGGTGATGATGATGATGATGATGATGATGATGAAGGTAACGATGATGATGATGATGATGATGATGATGATGATGAAGGTAATGATGGTGCTGGTGCTGGTGCTGATCCTGGTGTTGATGTTGATGCTGATGCTGCTGATGCTGATGCTGAGGCTGTCGATGATAATCATGTTTGGGGCTGTTGCCACGGGTTCTCGGTTGTGCAAGGCCTTCGTGGTGGCATTCGATGTCTGCTTCATAATTCCCGGGTTGAGACATCAGCGGTTCGCAAGGGATTTTTAAGGTTTCCAGCCTCTCCCGTCGCCATTAAACCTCAATCTCAGACCGTGCTTGCCCCAAGCTTGTGCTTGTGGCCCATATATATATATATATATATATATATACACACACACACACATACACCCGGAGCCCAGAAAACATGAGAGCCCCAGCTCCATCAGCCACCGCACCCCACACCGCTCTTAGGAGACTGTCCGCCCTCGCCCCGATCCTTTAGACCTGTGAACTATAACAAACATATGTTTGGTTGTCAAAATTATGGTACCTTTTGGGGTACCTTAAATAATAGGTGCCGTACTATAGTAGGGACCCCAAAAGGCACCATAATTTTGACAACCACCCAAAGGAGCAGCCCTGGCCCCCAACTCTTCGCACCCCAGCATCCCCAAGTGCAAGCCCACACTCGATCGCCCCGGAAGCGATGCCTTTCAGAACAGTCCCAAGCTAGCTAACCCTTAGCCCCAAGAGTGCTCCTCGACGCGAAGAGCATAGTACAGGCATGTTACAGTACATCGTACTTGTAGTATAGGAAAAAAGAAGCCAGCCAAGTCGCCTGTTGGGCCTCTCGACGCGATGCGCAGCTCGGGGACGCATGGACAACATTTGGAAGGCCGTGTGTGCGCGTGTATACACATAGAAATGTGTATATATGTATATACATACATATATATATATATATATGTATAGGTATATATACACGTATAAGTATGTCAGTAAGTATATGTGTAGACACATATATACATACAGCTTGTAGTACCGAAAGGAGTAGCTACTAAGCATACGATCAAGATAAGGGTGGTGAGAATGAACAGTCATACATGATAATACCACGGGGGAGAACAATATCAGCAGTACTGTGTCTGGGATGATTCTGGTGATTTCTGGCTCCGGATTGCAGGGTTCTGTAAGGCAGGCAAGACGATTCTACAAGGGTGGTTCAGAATTTACAGTGTGGAAATGGGTTACCCCGAAAGCCTTTGAAGGCCCTGTCGCTATAAACCTGTCCGTAACCCTGCATGGCCAAACTTGTACCCCAGACCCTCTGAGCCTTTGAAGCCCGACCTCAAAGAATCCCCTAAACCCTAAACTCCAAACAACCCCAGACCCTAAACCCTGAACCCTAAACCCTGAACCCTAAACTCTGAACCCAAAGAATGACCCAGAGTCCAGGCTCAGAGTCGCTCCCGGCTGGGCGATGGCACAGAGGTCTTGGCACCCGACAAGGACGCCTGTACTTCGGCGGGTCCTAACAGGTTTGACGGTTTAGGGGCTGAGGGCTTAAATAGCTTAAAGCAGGGTTTAGGTTGGGGTTTATATAGGTTCATTGTTCAGACTCGAGCTAGCTATTGCCCGGTTATTAGTTGCAGTTACTCCAGTGCTAGTGGTTACAGGATTTTGCAGGATCCATTGCTTGAGCAACCATGGCGGGTGGCACTGCAGCAGCAGCTATAATCAGAAGACCGCCTGAGCGGGTGCCGCTGTTCAGACCCCTGGTCTGGACCCTATAAAAACCTTCCTTTTTTACGTATTTCATACTATGATCTTCATATATCTGTAGATACACATCGGTATGTATGTATGTATGTATGTATGTATATATATATATATATATATATATATTTATATGTATGTATGCCTTCAGGTAAGGGCAAAGGACTGGTGCAACGGAATCCTGTCACGCCTCCTTCCAGGAGCATTGGCTTCATCGTGGCCAGATCGTCGACGAGTATGCCGAAGGGTGCGCCGAGAACAGTAGGATCTCCAGGACATGTGGGAGTTTCCGAAAACAGGGGACCCTAATATAGTACCAAAAATAGTAGGATCCTTATTATCGGGACCCCCCAAAAAGGTACCCCTAATTTTCGGAAACTCCCATGTTGCTCGAAAAGCCATCAAGCTTAAAGGGAACTCCAGAAAGTTGGAGTATGGATTGATGGTAGGATCCCCTATAATTTACTTTAAAGGGGTTACGATAATGATATTCCAAGTTTCTGGCTTCTACTGTAGCCAGGTTTTGAATCCTGCACAGCTTACTCGATGCACAATCGCCTGACCCTTGCCGTACGCATGCGTTGCGCAGCTGTGCCTTCAGTGTATTCCATATGCTGTGATGATCGGTTGAAAGGAGCATCAGGCTTTGACTTCAAGGGATCACCTCTCAGCTCGGCCGAACGTACATACTCACAGATCTACATGCGTGTATGCACTTGTATGTCTATGTGTGCATGCATAGAGCATGTCGTCGACTTTGTGTTTTGTTTGTTTGGTTGCAGCTTCGTTGTTTGGTTGGTTGCTTACTTGGTTGGTGCTGGTGGTTTGCTTGCTTGCTAGGTTGCTTGCTCGTTTGCGTGTTTGCCTGCACGTGCATGTATGTGGGTGCAGCACCGCCTCCTCTTGGAGGATCATGGGACTTCGTAAGTACAGTTACATATGACTACCTGAATTGGGCCGGGGATATGATCAATCATAACTTTAGTTCCGCGGACAATAAACCTAGTTGCTAACTCCCCTGAGCCTTTGAGTAAATTGAAAACCCTAAACCCTTGAAGGAATCCTAAATCCCCGTAGTACCCTTAACAGGAACCCTCAGAGCCTGCGAGTTCTCCGTGAGCGAGGCAAACGCTGCCTCCCGGCTACCGCGTGGTGGAGCTGAGATCTGGCAAGGCGACCTCGACGCCAGGGGTTAGGAGGTTTCCCCAAGGTTACGGTTACTATAACGGCTCCGTCAGGGCTTTAGGGGTTAAGGGTCCATGTATCCAGATACTCTCCCCTGCTTGCTTCCTCATGAGGCATATGAGACGGCCTTGAAGGGGACTTGGGGGGTCTCGTGGGAAGTCTCAGCGCCCAAATCCCTAAACCAGGAACCCTAAACCCTAAACCCTAAGGCCCTGAACCCTAAGGCCCTGAACCCTGAACCCTAAACCCAACGTCCTGAAGCCTCGAAGCCCAGAGCCCCCCAAAACCCCTAATACCCCTATATAATACCCCCAATACCCTGAATACCCCTATATAAGAACCCCAAAACCCAAAAAAACACCACAAAAAGCTCTAATACCCTTATATAATACCCCTAATACCCCGAAGCCCTAAACCCCCAAACCCCTGAACCCTAAACCCTAAACCTGGCCAACTCGACTCAAGGCCTTCGCGTTACCCGAGGCGCGCTTGGTTCCCTGGCAAGGCCGCTCCAGCCCTAGGGCTTTAGGGTTTAGGCTTTAGGGTTTAGGGTTTAGGGTTTAGGGTTTGGGGTTTGGGGTTTAGGGTTTAGGGTTTAGGGTTTGGGGTTTGGGGTTTAGGGTTTAGGGCTTTGGGAACCCTAACCTCTGGCAGTGCATGCCAAGGACTTCTAGCTCGTATGACAGATCGGGCAGTTGTAGGTTTTGTAACGCGTCTCGTGGAAAAGATGACTTACCTTAAAGACGAGATGAACCCTAAAAGGGTTGAAGGTTCATATACCATAAAGGACCTCATAGCATAAGGGTATGGGACCCCTACTTGTAAGGGACGTTTGGTCCTTAAGGTATTCATGATCACACGAAGCTGGCAGGGTAATGGTCGATCTGTCTGTTGCGTTGCTCTGGGACCGACAGTGATTCACAGGGGGTTCTGCTCTGAAGCTGCTTCCAGAAGGTGGGCTTGCAATAACCCAACCTCTGACCCCACCCGGACCCCCAAAACTCTGATGAAAGTCTTATGGTCATTGTTTACTTGGAGGGTCGGGGGACTTAGGAACTGGTTATTTTAAGGACTTATAAGTACCATAACCCCAATCAGGGTCCTTTTTGGGGTACTTATAAGTCTACTTACTACCTACTTACTAAGTCTCCCGACCCTCCAAGTAGGGTAAATAGTGTGGAGGGCAGTTGGTGTTCTACTAATATCTATAGCCCTGAGCTGATGTTCGACCGAGGTTTTTAAGGGGTTCGTGAGTTCTCACGGTTGGTGCTTCGAGGACTGTGGTGTAGTGCACAAGAAAGGGTTTAAGCAAAGGCAAACCCTAGACCTCGCGACCCTAAGCCCCACCTAAAGACCCAAACCCTAAACCTCGAAAGCCTAAACCCTAAAACCCTAAAGCCCTAAGCCCTAAACCCAAAAGCCCTACCTAAACCTCGAAACCCTAAGCCCTAAGCGAGTCACAAATGCGAAGGTTATCCTCAGCGGCTTCTAGCCGGTTGCCAAGGCACGGTGAGCTCTTTTGATGTCGGTTTAGGGTTTGGGGTTTAGGGTCCCTGTAGGCCAGAGACGTAAAGTAAGCCCCAAAAAGTTGGAAGCCGGATTCAGGCCAAATAGTCCTGGGAGTACCTATACATTACATTATTCTTGAGGATTGAGGCTATTGGGTTTACCCTAAACCCTAAACCCTCAACGTTTTCAACTTTTGGGCTTCTACTGCAGAGGATTGCGGGTTTAAGGATGGTCACGGGTCTGGGGTGGTATGGGGTTTGGAGTTTCGGGTACGAGGTTTGGTTTGGGGTTATTTGGGGCTGCAGCGCCCCACCAAACTAAACCGATGATAGTTTCGCGAGATTTGCATTTGTCGGAGTTGAAGGCTTGATCCGAGATTCTCTATAATTGGAACAAGGTTAGGGGCACATTGTATTAACATTTGTATTCGAGACCGCATGTGAAACTTTAGTAGTGGACTAGGTAGCCTTTAACCTTTCCGGTGTAGTCGAATCCGCATACACAATCCTGAAGGTTAACTTTTGGCTTCCCTCGGATATCGGACGACTAGACAAAGGGGTACGATAATAGGTTATTCCGACCTGATTGTATTTGGACTTCAGGACTTTTGGGTTCGGGTTTTCGGGCCGGCTGCTGCAGCATAACGCTGCCCTATGAGCTTAAGCACGAGCCTAGGTAGCGAATCCCCCAGGAGCGAGACGGCATGACCATGTTGATGAACATTGCGATGACATTGCTGTTTCACGTATGGCTTTCTTTAAGTCAGTTCTATCAGCAAATACTGCTTCCTGCGTTTGCTGTTGTTGTCACTATTATTTGCATAACAACTTGTGATTACTATTTCTGTTGTAGCCCAGTCATCACCCGGTCCAGCCACTCAAGAATGACAACGTCGATGGACTACTGCCTACGTACATCCGTTTGTAGGTGGCAAAAGCTACCAGCACACCAACCGGAGCAACACAGTTTTTTGAGAGTCTTCCCCCAACTAGAAGCATCATCTGGACTACATGGCGCAAGAGGGTTGAGTGAATAGTGCCAGGCTTACTGGCATGTGCACTTTATGTGTTTTGGACTGAAGTAGAGGGTGTGACGGTCTGAAATAGTACTGTTTTTCGGGGGGTCCTTATTATAACTATAGTATAGCGGGCCCTAAAACTCTATTCTAATCATTAGGGCCCTTATTATAATAACTATAGTATAGTGGGCCCATAAACCCTATGCCTATTCTAATCATTAAGGCCCCTATATTAATCGGTGCACGAGGCTCCAGCAAGCAGACCCAAGATCTGCCCTGCGCTGTCTGGCGCTGCGAGATTTGGACGGAAGGCACGCAGACCTTTCCCCTACTTGGAGTATCATGGGACTTAGTAAGTGAGGTTATAAGTACCCTAATGGAGTTATAAGTATAGTCACCTTGTTTATAACCCTAGTTACTACGTCCCATGATCCTGCACGTAGGGCTCCATGTACGCGAATAGTACATACATTGGCCTTACGATAGTCCCTATGTTGGTACATTGGGGCCACCCTCTACTATGTGGGTACATGGACCCTGACGGTTTCCTGAAACCGATTGATTCTCAAAGCGTCAGAAGTAGGCATCAGTTGCACCTACGGCTGATAGTGATTCAGGATTTGCAGAGTGTACCGCATGTAACTAAACGTCAGAATTGGCTTTCGCGACAGTGTAATCACCACAGCGAACCTGCCCCTTGGCTGCTCCCGCCGGATGGACGTGAAGTCTTTTCAACTCCGACGCCAATCCGAGAAGCCGTCATCCTAAGTCCACAACAAACTCCAGAACCTGAAGCCCTGAAGCTCTTACCCCTTAACCTTAGTAAACCCTAGACCCAGACCTTCAGCCCTAAACTCAAACTTTTGTTATGCCACGCAGGTCTATTCTCGCTTCTCTTCTGGGCCCTCGGATGGCTGGAGACGGAGGCCCAAATCCTAAGCACGTAAACTACTATTTGCTTAAGAACCCCCAAAAAATGAAGAATTATAATCCCTATATTATCCCTATAAGGAATACATTTTTTATTTTTGGGAGTTTCTTAAGCAAATAGTAGTAAAGGGCCCCTCAAGTAGGGATCTGAACAGTCATTCCTGGGTTCCCCAGTATGGCTTACTGCATCATAGTACATACTCGCTAAACCTAACCCCTAAACCCCAGACCCTTTTTTAAGTCGTAAGGTGCCCGTATCCTTCCTTACTGGCCTGGTGTCTTCAAAGCAAGCCTTCAAACTCAAACCCATTCACTGTGCACGCCGACCCGCGAAGCCACCCCGCATGGACGCCTGCTTGTCCATTTACGTGTAGATTTAGTTCACGGTTAGGTCTAGTTGAGGCTTAAGTTTCAGGGTTAGGGTTTAGGGTTTAGGAACCCTGAGCCTTAAATCCTATAAACACTAAACCCGGGTTTGGGGCCTTTATCATTCTCCACGAAACTTCGGTGTGCCTGAACCTCTTGGTCAGGCGGCAGCTGCTTCGCAGGCGGGCCTAGCGTAATTTCTGGAAGTTGGCGTGTCCAAATTATGGGTTCCTTTTAAGGGTTCCCTTTGGGGTTCCTTCAAGAAACCCCCAACTAAACTCTCGGAAAGGCTACCAACCTCCTCATTGACTGGACCGACCCCCGCATCCTCTTGCACGGCGGCGGCGAGAGGCTCGGAGAGATGCCTTCGGAATGTTCTGTGGAGCTCAGGGGTTGTAGTTTTCGTTGGAGATACGAAGAGTCACGAATCGGAAAATGTTGACAATCATGGCAACAAAGATAGTTTTGAAATTGAAAGTCGTCGTCGTAAGAAGAAGAAGAAGAGCCAATCTTAGTATATGAACTAAGACCATGACCCTTGAAAGACCCGATGCGTCAGCCCGAGGTCAGCGTTGCAGGAGTTAGGAGGTTTGTGACTCGGCGGCTCTTTTTCCACACCAAATCTGCAGGCCTTTCTCTCGTAAAGAGCTGGAGCTGAAACCTGGGTTTGTTTCGAATTTGGATTGGGGTTTTTGGGGTTAAAGGTTCAGGATTTAGGGCTTTAGGGGCTCAATGATCCTCGGTTGAGAGAGTTTGGCTCAAGCTTTGAAACTTCGGGTTTGTTCCAACATGACCATACTACCTCGACCAGTTGAGTGGCGTGGCTGCAACGCAGACGGGTTACCTGTACTTGCACAAATATGTTGTGCCTGAAAGCCCCACACTTTAAATGTGTCTCCGACACACCTTATGAGGCTGTGCTATGCTGTGCTTTATTCATCCAACCCGAAACCGAAGCTACTCTCGCAAGCGCGGAAGACACCACCAGACCCCCTAAATCTCAAACCCTCAGCCCCTGTTTAGGGCTCACTTTAAAATACTACAAGCCCCAAACCGTAAGCTCCAACAGAAAGAAAAGCTAAACCCTAAACCCGTAAACCCTACACCCCACGCCCTAAACCCGGAAAAGGTACACAAACAATGCCTGGAATCACTTCTTCGAGCGGCAGCCTCACGATCCCTCTGTAGTTTGGGGCTTTAGGGTTTGTCCACGTACCCAAATAGTAGGGCTTTAGGTCCCGAAATCCATACTCTAAATGGGTGGTGGTCAAAGTCAGGGTCCCGTTTTGGGTACCCTGAATAATAGGTGCCGTATTATAACAGGGATCCAAAAAGGGAATATATTTTTGACAACCTTGAAACCCTACTATTTGGGTACTTGGACCCTTAGGGTTTGTGGTTTGGGTCAACCGCGGGGTTGCGCAGCGATTTTTGAGGCCGTGGGGTTTAGAGTTTAGAGCTTTAGGGCTTAGGCAGTTTTGGGTTTCCCGTTGCAACAGGTTTGATCAGTAATTTCTTTGGTCTATGCACGTTTTCTCTTGTGAGTTATTAGGTTTGAGACTTTTTTTTTTCGGGTTGTCTCGTAGGTTTTTGATGGGTTTAGCGGCCCAAGGAATCTGGAATAGATTAATGCAGAAGTCCTAATTTGACTCGCTGATTTTGGCTGTCTTTGCAGCCTATATTTATTGTAAACATGAACACGTTCAGAGTGTCTTGACTGGGTTGCGAAGGAGGGAGTGCATCCAGCTCTTCGCAAGCGAGTGACTCAGAAGAAGCCGGTGAACACGAGAGAAGCGTGTATGAAGAGATGGGCATGGATGGAGGAGGCGGGCGAGCAAGAGCCCTTCAAGCCGCATGCCTCGCAGATCGCCAACGAGAACAAGGCCAAACGAGCACGCTTCCAGCAGTTGCAGGACAGAGCGAACGACGTGTCCGAACAGGAGGCTGAGGATGGCCTTGGTCCTACTGAGTCAGCTCTACGGTTTAGGGTTTAGGGGGTCAAAGCCATTGAGCTGATATAAGGCCGTCATCGTAAGGAGCCCAAGAACGATAGGTTTCATAGAGTTCATGTCGCGGGCTCCAAGCGGTCTAATATAGGGGCCTAAGAAAATGACCATCACCATAATATTAATAATAGCAATAATTACCAATAGTATTCCTTGGGTTCCTTACTATAGTTATCGTATAATATGCCCCAACACCCTAGTCTAATCATTAAGGCCCCTATATTAGGGTACCATCAGCACCTGAAAGAGAGAGAGACCCTCGGAGCTCCAAACGCTCCATGAAATCCTGTTTGAACCCAAACCCGAAGCACATAAACCCCTAAACTACATACTATATCCCCTAAACCCCCTAAGCCCAGCAAGCTAAAGTCGAGTTTAGGGTTTGCGGTGTAGGAAAATCTGAACTCCTAAACCCCGAAACCCTAAACCCTAACCCTGAACCCTAAACCCCTGCAGCCTCAACCCAGAGACTCCAAAACCCTTTAATTAAGGAATATACCTCAAAACATACTAGGATCCCCAAAGTGATTTAAGGTCTATTCCTCGAATAAGGGGTTTTGGAGGCTATGGGAAACCCGACTGAGGCAGCCTGCAGGAGAGGGCCGCCCCGAGGGGTCCCTCGAGGCCTCGCAGAGAAGCGTGGAGACCTTCGGGAAGATTAGTTTCGGGCTTTGGGCTTCAGGTTTAGGGGTATTTACGGGTTGAGGGTTTAGGGCTTAGGGTTTTGGGACTTGCACCCCCCCCGCCAAGTATCCCACAGGCGTCTCATATTCCTCATTAAGACTTCCTCATTAAGACGAAACTAGGGGCTGCAATAAAGGGTAGTTGGGGGTCTGATTAGGTACTTGGAAGGGCACGGGACTTAGTAAGTAGGTTATAAGTAGAGTTATAAGTACCCTAAATGGAGTTACCCCAATTATAACCCTACTTATAACCTACTTACTAAGTCCCCTGCCCTTCCAAGTAGGCCCCCCGGTTTAGGTCTTAGAGCCTGGCAGTTGTGGGGTTTGGCCATGACTGAAGCTAAACTTGCTAAGCCCAACATGCACGGATGCAACAATCCGAAACCTCCAAAGATGCGATCTGTCGATCTCTGTAAATCTCTGCCTTGCTATCTATCTATCTATCTATCTATCTATCTGTCTATGTATCTTTGGTTTATAGGCTTCTTTTAGTTCTTCTACCCGCCTGTCTATGTATCTTTGGTTTATAGGCTTCTTTTAGTGCTTCTATCTGCCTGTCTATGTATCTTTGGCTTATAGGCTTGTTTGAGTTCTTTAACTAACCCTAAGCCCTAAAACCCTAAACCCCTAAACCCTAAAACCCTAACCCCCAAAAATCCCCACACCTTAAATCCCTAAAGCCCAAAACTCTAAACCCTGAAAGTCCCCAATACCTGAAAGATCACCGAACACCCTAAACCACTAAAAAACCCTAAGAGTCTTGATTCTACCTCTGTTTGTGTAACTTTTCCTGTGGATCTCGACAGGCCGCAGAGGCCCATGGCCGCCTCAAGATAGCCATGAGCTCACGTTTAGGGTTGGGGTTTGGGGTTTAGGGTGTTCAGAGTTTAGGGTTTGGGATTTGGAGTGTAGGCTTGAGGGTTTTAGGTCAGCGGTTGAGATCGTAGGACATTTTGGGTGCGGGGCATGGGCTCTGGGATTTAGCCTGAACGCTCTTTTGCCAAGTCACCAACTGCGACATGCGCCTGTTCTAGATTACTTACCTTTGGTTAGTATGGAATGGAAAAATGGCAGTAATAGTAGTTATAATTGTACCCCATTCCTCCATTCCCTACTAACCAAAGCTAAGATTAAGGTCTCTCTGTGGCTGGAACTGACACCGGCTGTAAACTTGGAGTTGAAGCCAGGTAAACCCTAATCCCCAAATGTAGGAACCTGATTAAGAAACCCTGGGCCTAGAACCCCAAAATAATTGGGTTCATATATGTCCATATAAGGAACCCTAATAAAGGCCCAAGGTTTCTTAATCAGGTTCCTACATTAAACTCTAGACCCTAAACCCCCCCTAAACCCTAAACCCTAAACCCCTAAACCCTAAACCCCTAAACCGCACGAGACACCACTGCATCGTGTTACCTCTCCTGGCCGCACCTCGGGACAGAAGCCAGCCTTGCTACCTTCTTGTAGCTGAGGGTCAGAAGTTCTAAACCAGATAGATGTTGCAACAGACTTAGACTGACTGACACGTGTGTGTGTGTATATATATAGGTATGAATACGTACATTCATATGTATATGTATATGTATACGCAAATGTATCTGTATCTGGTACATATACATATATACATCATATATGTATGCTTGCTAAACCACCTGTATATACTCATTACCTCAGATATGAAAGTAGCCCTGTTGTTTCAGTATTCAAAGCTTGGAGAACATAGTAAAGCACATGCAAAATGCGTATTATACGATGGTGGTTGCCAAAACCAATCACATAAATGGTCATAAACTCCAAACCGTCAAGCCCCACAGCCGACATCCTCGGCGGTAAACCCTAGCCCTCGAAAAAATGCGTATAGCGTTTACCGCTCGATTCTAAGCTCTGTCGAGGTCTATCATTTCTGTGGTCCCTGCACGCCATAGAAAATGTATATAGCCGTGAAGACTTTAAGCTTCCGGGACCTACTTGGAGGATCATGGGACTTAGTAAGTGAGGTTATCAGTACCCTAATTGGAGTTATAAGTATCGATACCTTATTTGTTACTGAGTCCCATGATCCTCCAAGTATGTCAGGGCTGTAAAACTTGTATCATCCTGTGCACTCGTGGAGCTAACTGAGGTCGTTCGCTTCGGAATGCCATGGTTCAAGCATCTTGGCTTTCCATTCAGAAGCTTCTTTAGCTTTGTCTCTCAGTCGTTGCTCGTATCTTCTGGTGTATTGTTGAGGAGCTTATTTGGGCTTTCCCGGTGTGAAAACTTGTTTTGGGCCCTCCGGTGGGTACTACGAAGGTTCAGGTGCAGTGTTTTGGGCTGCGCAAGGCTCCTCTGCAAGCCATTTTGCACAAAGGAGCTCTTGCTGAAGCTTGTGGGCCTCGAGATCATCATGCTCTGTTTCTTCGTGGTGGTGAGATGATCATGACGATGCGAATGATCATGAAGGTGAAGGTTCATACGCAGATTCCGTCGACGATGTTGGTGCGAATGTTAGCGGCGATGTCGATGTTGATCTCAATCATCATGCCACTGGTGGCCAGTACAGTGAGCACCATGACGACATCTCAAGCCGTAATGCTTCGGCACCACTCTCAGTGAACCTCAAGTTGGATCGCCGCAAGCAACATGCCCGCAACCATAAAACCGGAGAGTAAGGCCTGAAATCTACTAGGATGCCCAGTAGTACCCTTATTCCCTTTTTGTAGTCCTAGGTTCCTTATAAAGTTACCCAATACCAAAAAGAGAGGCCTTTTTTATTCTTAGGTTACTGGGTATCCTAGTCTACACCTTATGGTAAATTATAGGGTATCCTACCAAGAAACCATATTCCAACTTTCTGGAGTTCCCTGTAAGGCCTAAAGTCTACACCTGCAAGGAAGTTTGGGGAGTTCCGTGGAGCAGATGAAGGCAACGGCGATGTCCAAGGAATCCGAGGCCAGCAGTGGGCCCAGACTGATTGGGTGGTTGTCAAAATTCAGGTCCCTTTTTGGGTCCTTAATATAATACGGCACCTAATATTTAGGGTACCCAAAAAGGGGCCATAATTTCGACAACTACCCTGATGTCTAAATCCGTCTCGTAGAGGCCCAAAGGCTGGAAACCCAATAGCAACCGTCCGCACGAGCCAAGAACAGGGAATCCCAGCACTAATCGTACTGTTCCGGGTTTACTGTAAGTCCTACAACTCCCGAAAGCCTTCAAAACAGAACAAGCCCTTCTAAAACCCCAAACCTAAAACTCTGGAAAGGAGCAAGGAGCCATGCAGGCTTTACCTTAAACTCTAAACCCTAAAACCCCTGAAAGCCCTAAAACCGTTGAAAGTTCCCAAACCCCTAAATCCTCAAAATCCCAAACCCTTAAAGGAACCCAAACGGATCCCGAAAGGGATCCCTTTAAAGGAGCCCTTGAAGGATCCGTTTAGGGTTCCTTCTCTGTGATCCCTTTAAAGGATCCCTAAACTCCCTAACTCCCTAAAGCCCTAACCTCTAAAACCTCAGGGATCCCTTTAAAGGACCCCGAAGGCCTCTAAGGATCCCTTAAGGGATCGCTTTAAAGGACCCAGAGACTTCCTGAAGCCCTACATCCCTAAAACCCCTAAACCTTTAAACCCCAAACCCTTAAAGGGTTTAGGGCTTAGGGTTTAGGGTTTAGGGCTTAGGGTTTAGGGCTTAGGGTTTAGGGTTTAGGGTTAAACCCCAAACCCTTGAACACCAAAAAAGCGCATAGCAAAAGCCCCTAAAGCCCTGAATTTCTTATAGAACGCGTAAGAGTAGCCCTTATAGGACCCCTACTTGGGCACCCCTTAAAAAGAGAGACTCCCTCCCTGAAGCCCCTAAAACCCTAAATCCCTAAAATCCTTAAACCCTTGAACCCTAAACCCTTTAAACAAGCCCTTAAACCCTAAAGTCCTTTAAAGAAGCCCTAAACCCTTAAAAGCCCCTAAAGCCCCAGAGAGATGTCAGGCGGTCGCCTGGATGAGGCGGCGGCCTCGGCGGGCCGGGAGGCCGTGAGGCAACGGGACGGGGAAGCCCGGAAGGTTTCTTTTTCAAGGGGTACCCAAACAGGGGTCCTATAAAGCTACTATTACGGGTTTTAGAAGGGTTTCTTAAACCCTAAACCCCAAATCCGAAACTTTCCTACACCCTAAGGGCATTTTTTGTGAGGGTTCCTAAAACACCCTTAGAGGAACCCTTCAAGGATCTCTTGAGGGTTCCTTTTAAGGGTTCTCAAAGGGATATGTTGGTGTTCTTGTAAGGCTTTTTTTTTTGCGGGATCCTTTAAGGGTTCCGTTAAAAGGGTTGGTTTAAGGGATCCTTTGACGCCGCAGGAGGCCCCTGGCTTCCATCTTAATTAGTAATTTAGAATAGGGTTTTGGGGCCCATTATAGTATAAATATGAGAAGCCACCCCCAAAAAATAGTATTGGTAATCATTGAGGCCCCTATGTTACATTCTCCTGTTGGGGTTTGCGGTTTACTTATTATGTTCTTTGTTCAGGCGAGCCCATGGGCTTGAGGGTAAGGCGTTCGGTTTCAGGGTCAGGGTTTGGGGCTTGAGGGTGGAGGTAGGTTGCTGCCGCTTTATAGAATCGCAGTCCTTGGAGTGCTATAGCTTCGAAATCCCAGCCGTTGTGTGAAGCCCTATCAGCATCAAGCCCCGTGCAAAGCTTCTGAAGCCCTCCAACATCCTTTAACAGCCTCCTGTATCGCGTTGTTCGGCATAGAACCCTAAACCCCCAAACCGACCAAACCCTGAACCCTGTCTACTGTACACGATTGATCGGCCAGGCGGTGGATTCGAGTCCGCCCGAGCATTCGACAGCGCGTCGAAGCATGGTGTGATGCACAGAATGAGGTCCGTACTGGGGCTTCTTGGGATTAGAGTTCGGGGTTTTGTGATATTGACTCGGCTTTTCAACTCGAGATCTTTGTGCAGGGTCCTCTTTCTTGAAACTACGGATGTTTGAGAATGACGCTTTCGTTACATGCTTGGGCTGATCGATCGGGTGCTACAGAGCTCCTTGGAAAATTTGTAGCCAATATTCCACCCGAAGGTTATGTTCCCGGAACACCCTTTGGTTCTAAGGCCCGAAACCCTAAGCCCAAGACGTTAAACCCAATACCCTAAACCCCTCAACCCTAAACCCTACTTGGAGGTTCAGGGGTAGTTATAAGTTGGGTTATAAGTGGGATAACTATAGTTATAAGCCATACTAGGGGACTTATAACCCTACTTGTAAATACCCCCTAAACCCTAAACCCTACACGCCTCCATGCTAGCAGGGCCTGGCTCTATCGCTTGCGGTGCACATCCGCCGCACAGACAAGCTCGAGCAGTGCAGGTGGCGTGTCATCCGTTGAAGGGTTCCGTAAAGGGATCTATAGTAATGCAGGAACCTGATTAAGAGACCCGGGGCCTGTGACCCCAAAATAGTAGGATTCATATAAAGAACCCTAATAAGGGCCCAAGGTTTCTTAATCAGGTTCCTACATTAGCGTTTGGGGTTTTGGGGTTTAGGGCTTTGGCTTAGGAGACTTTCTGGGCTCCTGGGTTTAGGGCCTCAAGGTTCGTGGATAGTTTTTATGGGTGGTTGTCAAAATGGGGGTCACTTTATTATGTGCCGTATTATACTAGGGACCCAAAAAGGGATCATAATTTTGACAACCACCCATATAGTACTGGGCAGCAATAATATTTTGACGAAGAATATCACATATGCGTGCTGGATGATAGAGGGCCTTTGGCCTCAAAAAGGCGTCCCTCTGTACATATACACATATGTATACAAGCACATACACATGTTTGTTTGTTTGTCTTTCTGTCCGTCTGTCTGTCTGTCTGTCTGTCTGTCCGTGTCTGTCCGTGTCTGTCCGTGTCTGTCCGTGTCTGTCCGTGTCTGTTTGTGTCTGTCTGTCCGTCTGTCTGTCTGTCGGTAGGTAGGTAGGTATGCCTGAACCATTGGGTAACAGTCTACTTTGTCAGATAAAGTGTGCCGGGGTACTGAACTGTAAACCTGAGAACAAAGACCAGCAGGCCGATGGACAACTCCCAGAGCTACAGCCTTTAGCCGTTTTGGGTTTAGGGTTAGGGCTGGCGGTGCCCTTGAGCATAAAAGCTGTCAAGCCACGCCGCAGTTCGAACCAATGGTCGGAGAGCGAGTTGGCAATGCAGATCCGCGCGTGAGAGCCTTTGCGATGGAGTGTGCAGGGGTTTTCGGCAGGGAGTTCAGGGCTTACAGTCCCTAAGGGTCCAAGTACTCCGTCTCAGAGGTGGACGTTGGTCCATTTTGCGTTCCGCAACCATAAATAAGGACTACTTGGACCCTCAGGGTGTGGATGCAACGTTTTACGGGTCATGCCCTAAGACCCAAGGCTCTTACGGGTCATGCCCTAAGACCCAAGGCTCAAGCTTTGCCGGGTTTGAGAACCCCGCGTGTACAGTCGCCCCAGCCCGAGCCCCGCCCCAAAGTTTCGAACAATAAGCTCAAGAGCAGTCACTAACGGTCACTAACGACAAACCATGGATCCTAAACTCAAGAGCCTTGAACCCTGACTCGAAACATCAGATTCGGGCACAGCATTGATGAGAAGTCTGTTTTTCAAGCCCTAACCCTAAACCCTAAGACCCTAAAGCGGACCAGGTTCTGTTCCAGCCTCGCGCTGCCCTGCGTGTTCCTATGCCCGACTCCTACAGTACCAGTCCTTACCGACGCTTGGGGTTTGGGGGCTTAGGGGTTGGGGCCTAGGGTTCAGGGGTGATGGATTGAATCCTCGGGCCGAGGATATTGGGGTTTTGTGGCTTGGGGCCGAATGTGGGGTGGTCAGGGCGGTTCGGCGTTATGTTCCAGGTGGTAGGGCCTGGTAGGGACTGCTCATGATTTTAGTGTCTATTGAAGAGTGACAACCAGGCACTCTGTCAGAGTAGCACGTCTAGTCATGACACAATAAAATTCAGGTGCTAGTTAGGCTGTCCTAAGTTCCGATCCGGCTCATGGACACAGGCCAACTGTCATCGGTTGCTTGCGCTTTCTTGGCTTCCGGCTTTTGGCGCCACCTTTGGGGTTTCGGTTTCAGGATTCATTGGCCCAGGCTTAGGTTTCGGGTTTCAGGATCGGAGCATAGGGCTCCTGGAAGGACACTGAGTTCGATGCAAGCCTCCTATCAACTGGCGTTCATCTGGGAGTTTCCGAAAATTAGGGGTACCTTATTTGGGGGGTCCTTATAGTATATTACCCTATTTTCGGAAACCCCCATATTGAACCGTAAAACCCAAACTCCTGCAGGTTTGACGACTTGCCGGTTTGTCGCTGTTTTCGGTTTCCATAGGCCGAAGGTCCCGCGCCGTGGCAGCCTTCATTCGCACGGATCGGTACATACTCTTGGTCGCAGCGGTAAGCAGAAGCATCAATAAGTTTACGTCCAAAGCCTGAAGTATGGAAGACATACCATGCTTTTATTTACTGTTATATACTATTACATACGAAAACTATTATACTATTACTATATACAAGGTACTATGTACTGTATGACTATGTCCATATTAACATACTACATACCATATACTGCAACTTCCAGCCTTGCATCCAACCCGCAGACTTCTAAGCTTCCACTGCAGTCTGGGACCCCTGCACGGTTTAGGGTTTAGGGTTTAGGGTTTAGGGTTTAGGGTTTAGGGTTTAGGGTTTATACCAACCCTTGGGCTCCAAATAGCCCAAAGTAAGCAGCAGATGCAAGATGGTGCCTTAATAGGGTTGTGGGGCCCGTTATACTATAGCTATCACAAGGAAGCCCACAAAATAGTTCGGCCCCTTTTCTTAGACTTTAGACCCCCGAAGTGGGTACTCTTTGCATATCTAGAGAGCCCTAGGGCAGATGCTTCACTCAAAACCTTCATGCAACTCTGGGGCTCAAGGATCCCATCCCTAACCCCGGCAACCCTAAACCATAAAACCTCTGAAGCCTGAAACCGTAAACCTTTGTAGAACACCATAGATTTGTTGTAGAAATCTCTAACAATGCCCCAAACCAAACCATGCATCTCAAGACCGGCACTGCCAGGATCAAAAACCAAAGTCTACGCACGCCTTACTTGGAGGATCATGGGACTTCGTAAGTACGGTTGCAACAAAGGTAGCTACCCACAAATTGCTATAGCCCTAGTTAAGGTGTTTATATCTGTACTATAGACCGTACTTACTGATTCCCATGACGCTCCAAGTAGGCTTCCAAATTTGTTTTAGGTTTCTGTCGCGCACGTTTAAGTTGACCTACATGGGCACTATGGGGTGTCCGCAGCTTTAGAGGCTTTGGGATGCTTTGGGCTTTGTCTTACTGCTCCTAAACCTAAACTTTGGACATGAGGGCATGTATGAAGAACTCAGAAATCAGGGGCTTTAACCCCTAGCAAAGCAGGAGTTATAGATTTTTGGCTTCAGAGGTCGAAGTCATAATTCCATCGGTCTGATTAACCGTATTGCAACTGCCTGTGCGGCTGTATGCTGCCCACGCACAACAAGTACGTGTTGACGTGCTGAACAGCGACGCAAAGTTGTGTCATTTCGAGAAAACCACGTTTGCGCAGATCTGCCAAGCCTACAACAGTTGCCGGTGGGGTCATGCCATGGTTCTCGCCATCCATGAAGTCGTGGTGTTGTTGGAGCAAGATATGTTGATGCATAGAAGCGCGCAACAGTGTTGATGTTTCGCTGTGGAGCTTGAGACCATGCTGTGCCATGCTTCCGGTTCTTCGACATATAGTCTATATTGATATGTTTTGTCCTGCGCATTGAGAAACCTGGCTTAGAGTCCAAGAATTGCCAAACAAACCTCTCATAGCCCCCCCCCCCCCACCCACCCAAAGGCTCTGCAAATTCAAGCATGAACCATCTCGGCGTGATATCCTACCACCATCTCCGGGTAAACTGTCAAGGCAGTGACGATGTATCACTGAAAGGGCAGCTCGCAAGACAGCTTGGCCGCGTCCGGGCCCTGGCTAAGAAATCGCCTCAATCAGGTCAGGGCTGGGATGTATACCGTTGACGAATGGGGTTGGTTGAATGGATTCTGACTGTGTGAGGATGGTGTGACCTCCATCGCAAAGTTGTAAAACACCGGTTGCGACAAGTTCATACACCCCACAATCCTGAAACAAGAAGGTTTGCAAACTTGGAGCTTGCCCCGCCTTCATCATGTTTCGGCTGCTATCTCGTTTCATTCGTGGGGCCATGGCATCCGTGCAGTGCCATAGAGCGGGAATGATAGTTAGAATCATGCACAGCTGCATGGGTATGGTTACGTCACAGTATACCCTTAAACCTGGTTCGAATGACTGACGCCCCCATGTTGCTTGACAGGACGGCCTGCGAGTCCTTAGCTTCGAAGCTCTGTTGTCTTCAGGCGCGTCTCAGCCACGGACTTTAGGGTTTAGGTCAAGTTTTGGTTGTTAAGGTGTATGGTTCAGGATTTAGGGCCGGGCGAGCGGGCTGTCGTTAGGCCAGGCACACGGAAATCGATGGATAGTTCTGCCTGGACACCAGCGGCGTTTGCATGTCCACCGTTGGTTCTTGTGATATAAGGCAGGATGAATGGACGGTAAAGCGTGCCGCGAACCATACCGTTATTGCAATGTGTCTATTCGTTCCCGACATTTGGAGGGTGAGTGTGCGCTGCGAAGTCGGGGCAAAACAAGAAAGCTGTAAGGGCCATCAAGTCTTGCCTTGTTCAACTTTGACAAACCGCAATCATTCCCCCTCGCCACTCTGATTCCCCTTAGCTTCTCGGGTACATGCCGATGCCTTTCCCCGGCCGTTAAAGTTGTCGATAACTATAGGAAAGCATTTGCTGACCCCACCGGTGCTATTCTTCGGCTGCTGCATTACCGATGATCCCCTCTGCCTTACACCGACCGAAATTCTGATACTTGTTCGGAGGTGGTCTCCCTTCACACAAAGATGAGAAGCTCGACCGTCGGCAGAATGCCGAGGCAGTCTGCAGATGTCTACAGGAGTCAGTTTTGGGACAGAGAATTCGGGAGCAAACGTTCAGCTCGTCATCCTTCTCCAAGCACATTCGTAAGGCATCCTAAACTTGGGCCCTGAACCCGAACCCTAAGCCCGGAGGCCTATAGAATAAGTGCCATCTCCATTGGACTTGAAAGCGTCTTGTAAGATCTTGTGCTCGTAATCAGACGGAGCCCCTGTAGTTCTGACTATACTTGTGTTATCACATGCACAAACCCCATTCCAAGTCAGGGTTTCGAGGTTTCGGGGGGCCCATAGGGTTGAAGGCTTCCTAGGATTAAGGAAATATGCCGTTTGTTTAAGTGGCGCTGAAAACCCTAAACCTCTAAACCCCAAACCCCTAAACCCCAAACCCTAAACCCCTGAACCTGGACTCGTTCATGCGAAGAAAGCATTGTAACCCCTCCCGCCCCGAATGTCCCATCTTTGTTCACGGGGCTCTTTGGCCTGGGATTTCGGGGTTTTGGGGTTTACCTACAGTCTCCATCGTAACTCCTTTCTTCGGTTTAACCATTTTTATGGTTGGGATCATTGGTTTGACCAAAAAAGGGAGCTACAATGGAGACTACAGGTAGGGAAACCCAGGGTGTTCGGGATCGTTGCGGCACTGTTTAGGATGTAAGTCTTGTTTAAGTGTGTTACTGCTTGGGGATTAAGACCATATATGATTGATGGTTTAGGGGTTTGTTTAGGGCTGCAGGCCCAAGTTTCCAAGCACTAAACTTTCCGAAGTCCCGAAAGCTGGAGCAGGATGTGCTGGTGGAAGTGCTGAATGTCTCGATGCGCCGCGCTGCTGTCGACGTGCCCTAGTTTGCGGAGGGTAGCAGGAGCATCCCAATAAACTAGATGGAATAAGGATGCTGGCGCCATCGATCGCCCTCAACTGCGACTTTGCTACTACATGTGTGCTCTTTGTGTGTGCCCGGTTGTCGTCATTGCTTTAGGTGTATGTCCTGTCGCATGATGTCGCATGCAGCATCCGGAGGATTTAGAACCTCGAGCTTGTTTTTGAGACGCGAGCCGGGAACCTTAAACCCTAAACCCAAACACTGAACCCCAAACCCCAAGACCAGAGAAGCCAGGTACAGCAACGTCAGTGTCGCAGCCATTTACTTCTCCGAGAGCTTGCCTCAGAATGGCCCTGTTCACTTGGATCCTGTAGGCCTTACAGACCCTGACCTCCTTCATGCATTTGAGCGTCCTTCGTCGCTCGAGGCTCCACAAAGCCCCTGAAGCTCGTGTCCGGAAAAACTTATCAAGCCCTGGCCAGAAAACTCTTCAAAACCTAAGTCCAATCCAATGACTCCAACTCTTAGACCCTAAACAAATCCTAAGCCCGAGCCCGACACCCTACCCGCTTGAACCGTGGCTCGTTTAAAGTCCTGCAGTCGTTGTCAGCGTTTGGACATGGCCTGTACGCACCAGTGAAATAGAACCATGAGCACAGAGACACATGGGTAGTTGTCAGAACAGGGGGTCCTTTTTTGGGTACCCAAAATAATTGGTGCCGTATGACATTAGGGACCCAAAAAGGGACTATAAATTTTGACCACCACTCACATGTAAGACAGATAGAACCTGAAAAGACATGACACATAATCAGCCCAAAAGTCGGTAGCAAGACGGGAGCCCCAATCCTGCAATCCTACACCCTAAGCCTTCAACCATCCCCGAAGATTTAAACTGCAGACCGCAAGCCCTAAACCCCTAAACCCTAAAGCCCTGAACTCTAAACCCTACGGCCTGAACCCCTCAACCCTAAACCCCTTGTACTCATGCGGTGAAGAAGATGCCTTCACAAAAAAGAAAGCCTAGAGGATCCCTTTACAAGAATGCTAAACCTAAACGGACCCCTAAAGTAGCCCTTTGAAAGACGAAAACCACTAAACCCTAAGCCCACGCCCCCGAAGGAGCCCTCAAAAAGGTAAACAAAATCTAAGCCCTATAAGCCCTAAAGAAGCCTCAAAAAAAGGCAACCTTAAACCTAAGCCCTTTCAATGAAGCAACCGCAAACCTTAAACCCCTACAGGAGCCCTTAAAACACAACATAAGCAATCGAAGAGCAGGAAACCCTTAACCCTTAGAAGAACAGCTCTAAACCCTCAAACCCAAGGCCCGGCTTCCCCTTCTTCATGTTCGGCGACGCCCTCCCGAAAAACTCCGCGGCCGCGCCCGTCGCATCCCACGGAGGCTTGGGGGGCTTTCTGGCCCAAAGGGGTCGCAGGGTTTAGGGTCTTCGGGCTTGAGGGGTTTAGGGTCTCAGGGGTTACGGGGGATACTTTCCCAAGTCGTAGCAATGGTTCCAAATATAGAACCACTACATTGTACCTAGACCCTCCATCTACCCTCTATTAGACCCTAAATGCCCCTTATTTGGGACCATATACCCCTATTATTTGAGGGTGCAAGGAGGGTCCTGGTACTATACAGGTACTTAGGACCCTTTGGGTGGGCGCCTCTAGGGCTTGTACGGGACTTAGGGTTCGAGGCCTCGGGTTTATCTACAAGGGTTAGGGTTCCTTTCGGTGTTTTTGTTACTATGTTGTTGTGGCTTTCAGGGTTTCAGGGTTCAGCTGGGTGTTCCAGTTGTATGAGGGGGTCAGGAGTTCAGGGTTTAGAGTGCTTGAGTGTAGGCATTTGGGCTAGGGCTTAGGATTGTCGAAGCGGTTACACTACGTCGTCTGGATAGCCTATTTGTTGGTGACGTGATCGCTTGATGAACCCTAAACTCCAGATGGGTAGCCTGCAGAAACCATAAACTTTACCCTAAACCCCCAAACCCTAAACCCTAAGCCCCATAAACCCTAAACGCTACTTAAACCTCAACCCCACGGAGCTGGCTAAGCGTTTAGAAGTGGTTTGCGTTCCTTCCTTCCTCATCTGCCCGCAGTGGACTGGGGTTTACAGGTTCCTATGTTCTCCGGACTGAAGGAGCTTTGTTATCATGTGGCATTCCGCCCACTTCCGTATTGAAATGAGTCTTCAGCTGTCGGATACAATGGTTCTGAGTTGACTTTAGAGCAGCATGTTTCTTTTGGCAAATGTAGAGTTTCCTAAAAGAGTTGGGGTTTGGCGTGCTACATTATACCTGGGTTGTATCAAGACAAGGGGTTTAGTGTTGGAACTTGGATCACTGATCTTGTCGCAGGCTTTCGAAGATCTGGCGCCTGCTACTGCAGAGTGGACAGGGACTCGGCAAGTGCACCTGATCGAGCGAGGGACCACAGTATCCGATTGAGGCTGCTAGCCCCCGGCATCTGCATGTGTCGCGTGTATTTTCAGATCTTGCAATCCATAGCCATCCGTGGAAACTCTGATTGCTTATTCATGCTGCCTGCCTCTTGTCCGTTCGCCCGCTCTCCCTCGCCCTCTCCTTCCTTCCCCTTGGCTACATGCATATACCTACCCTTGACCCTGGATCCACCTGTTTATACAAGTCGATTCAGGTGTCTGTATATATATATATAGATATATATATATATATATATATATATATATATGTATGTACGTATGTTTGTATATATTATATTGTACTTTTCATATTTTGCCATATTATATTGTGCTGTATCATCTCGTGTTATATAAAACTATGCTATATCAAGTCACATTATATTGTTGTGTATGTATGCACAAAATCTGTATGTATATGTACCTTCATGCACCATGTGTATACGTTTTTGATTCGCTTATTTGGTTCATCATTTGTATGTCTGTGTATGTATACATGTGTATACATACATATACATATTGTAGATGTTGTCTGAACAGTCTACAATGGATGAATAGATGCAGAATGATGCAGACATGCAGAATGGTGCCGCATTGAAGACTGCGACTCCGTTCCGCCACCCTTTTCTGGCTTCAAGGTGTTTTTGAGGGACTCGTCCTGCGACCCGCTGTCATCCTCTCCTTTTGCAGATCATGGCTCGTGGCATGTTGATCCTTGCCTTCGGCTGCATGTGCCTGTGGGCGCTGAGCGGCCGTAGTTTTGTGAGTGGCCCAGCGACGCAGGCCCGCCAGGTCAACGTGGCTGCGGCTGCAGAGGTGAAGTACGAGACGGACATGCCGGCCGAAAACGGCGTGTACCCAGTGGGCAATGCTAAGCGGACGGCGCCCTACGGCGAGCGCGACCCGCTCCCTGAGGGCTACGGCATCCGCACCGGACTCTCGGACTTGCTCAAGCCCTTGAATGCTGAGGCAGGTGTCGTGGCCAAGGAGGACAGCATCCCTACCGTGCTTGTGATGGTTGCTCGGCCGTTCCGTTAGGTTTCCGTGCATTTTAGAGAGAACTGCCAGCTGCTCTTGCCTGTATCCCAGTAAGTGACCAAGGTCACGGGCATTGTTCTGCTGTTCCTTTTCTACCTGCTGCTCCTGCTGCTCGACAACCAGTCCGTGCTGCTGCCCCCCGAGGACGAGTTCGATGAGTACGTGACTTGGCCTAGCAATACTAATTATTTCAGATTTGGAGTTCAGTGTTGATCGGTTGTTGATCGCCTGTCGTGCCGAGGTGCAGAACTTCCTCCCATACTTCTTCTTCGGTGAGAAGTGAGCCGCGCTTTCTAGTTTTCCCCATTCGAAAGCTGCGGAGATGTCACGGCAAAGCCCTGTTCGTCACCTCGTCGCCAGCGGACTCGAGGATGAAAGCCACCCGGGGGCCGGGTTGGCATGTTCCCGTGGCCACAGAGTAGTTTTATCAAGGTTACATAGAGTTTTCTGCGGAGGCCTATAAGACTTATACAATGTAAAAGGGAAGGGCCCATAGGTTTGACCTATGCTCTAAATTCGTTAAATACTACTACAGTCATGGCAACAGCAGTGACAATGCACAAATATGTTCTGAACCATATCTGGACCCCAGAATCGCTGCCACATTATTTTGCTTGCGGAGGTCTAGGTATCTAAACCCTAAAAAGTCCTAAAACGCTAAACCCTTCCTTATAGACCCCTTTAAAGGAACCCTGTTCTAGCCATTATAAGGCCGCCATAACTTACCTTTGGTTAGTAGGGAATGGAAGAAGGGTAGTGATAGTAGTCATAATTGTACCCCATTCCTCCATTCCCTCCTTGCCCAAGGTAAGATAAGTACCCTAACTGGGGCTTTAAGTAATTAAAAGTATAGTTATCTTATCTATAACCCCAATTACTAACCCAAGGTAAGAGCCCCTACAAAATAGGGGACCCTAATATAATACCCTAAATAGTAGGATCCTTCCATTCCTTACTAGCCCCAGGTAAGATAATACGGAACTGTGGCCCGGCTGCCCAGGCCTGCCGAGTTCGAGCCTGGCAGTCACGCAGGCGCCGTCATGGACGCTGCTTCCCGGCGAGCGGGGCTTAGGGACGGGCTTGGGGTTTAGGGTTTAGGGTTTAGGGCTTGGGGCTTGGGGTTTACGGCTTATGGGCTTGAGGTTTAGGGCTTAGGGCTTGGGGTTTAGGGCTTAGGGCTTCGGGCTTAGGGTTTTGGGCTCCGTTCGAGAAGCTCGCGGTAGAAATGCCAGGGTTTCGGGCTTCTAGGGTGTAGGGTTCTAGGGTTTATGGGGTTTTGGGCGTGGGGTGCTAAGACTCAGTGCTGGTCGCAGGCGAAGATGCAGCTGGCAGCCAGCGTTCGAGAGCGTAGCGAAAAAGATGCAGCTTTCAACTTCAGCACTGAAGACTTCCACGAACAGCAGGCGAAGCCTTACGATGCTAGCAGGGCGAGCTTGAAATATCTTGTCTGGACTGGCTGCAGGGAACAAGTCTAAGTGAGACCTTGCCTAGGCAAGTTTCAAAGACATGACACCTTCAGGTATCGAAGAAGCAGTGACTCTGAAACGAACATACACAAGCATGCAAGCGGTTGGTAGATAGGCAGGAGCTTGTGCAAGCTGTGAGCTGAAACTCGATGAGAGAGTGAAAGCTTGCCGTAGCCTAGCACTGTAATATGGGGGCCTGAATAATTGCCTATACTATTTCGGGGGTTCCTTATTATAGTTATAGTATGCTGGGCCCCCGAAACCATATTCTAACTATTAAGGTGCCTATTGCAACTGGTGTGCGGCGTGCTACATATGATGGCAGTGCTAGTGGCTGTGGTTGTCCCGAGCAAGCAGTGAGAGCACATGTTTCTCCCGGCGTGGCCGATTCTTTTGTCGAGCAGGTAGAAGGCAGCTTGAGTAGCTCGACATGTCCAGCATGCGGAAGCCGATCATGAAGCTTATGGTGGCCCTTGCTGCTGCGAGCGGCCATATGGCAGGTGCAGAGCTACAGTTGCCGTTGCCACAGGACCCGTTACAAACAATTTCTATAGCCAGTAAAGAACCCCTAGATAGAACCCCTAACCCAGGACTCAGTGCAGGGCGCCATCTTTTTCACGAGCGCGCACACCGGTGATTTGGTGCGTCTCGACTGTACGGCGGATGGATGCGCCAAGCCGCTTGCAATCGCTGCAGGCCTCGAAACGTATAGTGGGCTTGTGCCATGGAGCGGGCATCTTGTGGCCGCTACGAAAAGCCACAAGCTCGTGCAAGTCGACCCATGGTGTCAGGACAGCTCCTGCCCGTTAAAGACGCTGGTGGATGTGGAGCATGCTCTAGGCGAGCTCATAGGTCCTCACGGGAATTTCAGCCTGGGTGGCATCACTTGGTGTCAAAACTCGCTGTTCGTGGTGTTCGGGGCAGCGATGCACCCAGGGCCCAGTGGCGTCATGCGATGCGCCAACTGTTCACCGGGGCATGATTGCACATCTAGCTGCTCGCTCGTCGATGGAGGAAAAGCCGCCGGCAAAGGATCTCAGGAGCTTTCGGGTTTCGCAGCAGGCATCGCTTGCACGGGCGACCGTGTTCTTGTTACCGACAACAGCAACTTCCGAGTGCAAGCGATCCCGGCTGCATGTGCAGAAGCCCCATGTGAGATCGATACCTTCGCCCGGGGACTAAAGTGGCCTGGGCATTGCAGTGGTGAACGGCGGGAGCCGTGTTCTCGTCACGCTGGACGAAGGCATCAAGTCCTTGCACTCCGATGGCTCATCGCTGTCGAACTTCAGCTACCGGGGTGACACTGGAGGCCTTTGTGAAGGTGATGGCAAAGTCTTGGCGGTTGATGGCAGTACTGGCAACATCTTATCCTTCGACCCGGTCTGTGATGCTAACTGTGCAGCCTCACTTATCTGGAACTCGACCGGGAGCACTGCCAGGCGGGTGTTCTTCGAAAAGCAGACATTTTAGTTGCATGCCGAACCTCTTCGACTCAGCAAAAGTAGCCATGTTATAAGTACAGTATCATATACCCCAAAAGCCCTATTCTAATTATTAAGGACCCTATGAAAGAACCCCACCACTAGAACCCTACCAGGTCTGTGGGCTTGATTACGTACATGCCGCAGCAGCTGAGGGACATTCCGGCAATATTCCTGTGAGCTGTCCAAAAACATTAAAGAAAACTCCAGAAAGTTGGAATATGGTTTCAGGGTAGGATACCTTATAATTTACCATAAAGGGTTTAGGGTAATCATATTCCAACTTTCTGGCTTTTACTTTATGAATTTTGTCCTCCGATGGTAAATGCCCTTAGGGCCTCAGGGGCCTGAGGATTTCCCATCAGCCTCTCGCTGCAGCTGCGAGGGATGCTCCGTGTGTGTTTAAACCCCTGCAGTTCGTAGATTTTCACGCTTGACGTCTCGAGGGGTGACCATGTTCATCAGTTTTGCAACGTAGGAAAGCCTTCCACACACTCTCGGTGTGTTCGACGACATTTCGCTGTAATGCGAGACGATGCGGCAGGCACACAGATAAAAGAATATGCATGGTTTGCCC